GGGGGGTGAGGCCGGGGGTAGAGGTTTTGGGGGGGTTGGATGAGCTTTGGTGGAGCTGGTGAGAGGTTGGAGGTAGGTGGAAAGAGTGTTAGGTTTGGAAAAGGTTGGAGGTGGAAAGTTAGAGGTGGTGGGGCGGGCGGTGAGTGGAATTTTGGACAGGGGTTGGGATGGGTCACGTGGTAAAGGGGATATTCTAACTTTCAGAGCGAGTACTAGGAGGTAGTGGGTTCCAGTCCTATCTTTGATTGGTGTGTGTTGTATGAATTAGGTTTTAAAATATGCCCTAGGTAGCATGAAGTCACTAGAAAAAAGATCCCGGATAGTCCGAAAATGGTATGGCTCATGACTGAACCTACTTCGCCGCACGGCAGGAGGGCTGTCTACTGTACATATCCGTCCGTGCCGTCACGTCCTGTCGTTCCAGTCATCATTAATTACCAATCGTCCTGGCCATGCCCTCACCCCACGAGTCTGAATCTTGTCACTTACTTCACCTGCCTAATGAGCTTCTCATTGAGATCTTGGCTTTGGCCGTGAATCACCAAGACTCTCAGCTCTGTGACTGGGAAGGGAGGAATTGGTACAATCTTACCCTTACCCGGGCTCCTGGTAGGACTCGGCACAGCAGTCCAATTTTCCTCGACCATTTGATCGAGATTGACCTCCCAGCACTGGAACACCTACAGTTAGATCAAGTCAGAGCCTTCTGCTTATCCTGCGTCGCCGGCCCCAATTCTGTTCCGGAGACTATGTCTAGGAAGAGACGCACCGCCCCATTTGCTAAGTTATCATTGTACAATTTTCGCGGTACCACATCCATTCTCACTGCTTTCCTCACCTGGCCCCGGGCTCTTGAGCACTTTGTCTGGGACCCCTCCCGGTATACTGTCGACACCGGTCGCACTCCGCGGATGGTCCATCAAGCTCTAGAGCCTCATCATCTAACGCTGCAGTCCTTGAAACTTGAGAGTAAGATTTTCGAGGAAAACATCATCGATCTCACTCATTATGCGGAGCTACAAGATCTGCGACTTTCAGCGTTTGACCCCCTTGAGGCCATCGGCGACCACGCACTACGCCTAGCAGCCCCCAAGTTGCGCAACTTCACTTGGGATCTTACCAGGACCATTCTCTATCCTGAAGCCTTCAATAAACCGACACTGGACGGTCTACGAACGTTTGTAGACGTGCTGCTCTCGCAGGGGTGTCCGCTACAGCGCATCGATGTTGTATTATGGCCTCGTCCAGGGTTTTATACGAAAACACGTAGCTTATACAACACTAGGACTTTCGAGGCCATGAATAAAAGCTCGGGTTAAACTATATGGAGCTCGGCTGATTAAATCTCAGTTGCGCAGTCAGGCTCCCTTGAACATTGAATAACTGTCGAATATCGTCTAAGGTGGCTCGGAGACCTACCAGGCTTGCCTACATGTTGCTTTAAAATAATCTCTAATAGTGGGTTAGGGGACGTTAAGCAGTGCGTCGCAATGGTGATATATACAAGCCTTCACGTAGATGATGAGCCATAGTCAGAGGGAAGCGGAATAAGACGAGGTGTGTAGCCAAAACCTGTATTGATGATTGTGAGGAAGCTAGCTATTGAGCGGAAGGAGGAAAGATAGTTATACACAAGGTGCTGAGTAAGCCTGCTAGAGAGGAAGGGGCCTGCAATAGTCTTTTTCGTGCATGCGATGATGCTGTGTCTTCCAATACGCAAATTCCATCTCGTGGTGAGCGTAGTAGCCGCTCGAGTCGAAGAGGTAAAGCTTCCCCGTGTCATCGGCGAGGCCAAAGTTTCCATTCCATAGGTCCCCGTGGATGAAACGGGGTTCCACTTGTACGGTGTTTGGGACCAGTTGCTCTCTTGTATTTATGGTAAATTGACCGAGGAACGAATGCCAGTGACTGTGATATCTTTCTGAGGATCATATTTCTCGAGCGCCTCCAGTGGTGCATACTCCTGGCAAAGATAGAGCATATCGTTGTAAGCTCTAAAATATAATGGTCATTAGCCGAATTCCCAACATTCTGTCGATGTGCTTACATTTGTCTCGCGACACTTCCTCGATGCCCAGCGGATAGATTCAACAATGCACGAATACTGTAGAGCCTGTTGCGATCATCCCACTCCTCCACTGGTTCCGAGGGTTCAATGTGCCGTTGATAAAGTCGCATGTATATTGGAGCGCTAAAGTGATGAGCCCATGGACATCTCCATGTTCCGAATTCCACCTCATTATACGCGCAAACACTTCCAGGATCGAACGCGATAACCTCCTCTGTCTCCATGTCGACTCCCACATTACCCTCCCACAGATCACCATGAACCAAAGTCGGGGTGATATGACGTCCATCCGATTGCAGAACCCCCAACAGCCTTGGAATGACGACTTCGATAAGTTGCTTGCAAGCAGCATCGTATTCCGGCCAAGGGTCGTTCGTCTCATTGTCATATTTGATGACATCTAGCAATTGATGCGTGTAGGATGCGGCCCAACTTGTTTCCCACGTCACTGTGCGTTCCATCACGCCGCAAACAGTGGCAACGTGAAATCCGAACATCCCATTTGGAGAAGCCCCTTTCGTCCTCGCGTTCCGATACGCATTATCGAGCATTCGTCCAGAAAAGAACGTTGAGACTATTCCACCTATACCGAAAGGAAGGTAGACGAGGCTCGTTTGCCATTGATTGAGCTTATAGACGGCAATGAAGATGACCGAGAGCGACGTACATAAGCAAGAGTAGACGAGGTAGAGGATCCCAGCCGCTAGAATGACAATAGCGTTATCCTTGCGGAGAAGGATAGTCAAGGAGTTAAAAGGATTAGGTATTCGTGACTTCGGACGAGCAGCAACGGTGTCTTCGTTCCAACGACACATTACAATGCGTGTGGGAAGTCGTAAATACTTCGGAGGCTTGATGTTCCCGTTACCAACTACAGCGCGGCACGTTTCGGGCAAGAAAATAGCCATCAGAAGCAGACACAGACTGGCAGCGATGCACAGAAACCAGAATATCCAGGGCCACCCTGCAGCGTAAGTCAAAAGTCCTCCCAGTATGGGACCAAAACTGGGCGCCATTGTTACGCTGGAAATCCGTAAGTTTTCATCCACAATTTTAGGTTTAGACGCACGCGAAAGATATCCCAGTGACGAATGAACCTCGTTCTGCCGGGGACGCGACATCGGCAATTACACCGTATGCGATCGAGTTGGTAGCTGGTACTGTCAGCATTTGACCTAAACTGGAGACTGAATGACGTGCCGGAAGTTGCCAGAGCTTGTAGTACCCGAAGACCTAACAGTGCTGGGTATGACTTTGATAGAGCAATGGCGACATTGCTAACTACATAGAGGCTGAGGGTGATCATGTAGACAGGACGTCGACCTAGGACATCGGCCAGGTCCCCAAATAAAGTCGGCGCTACTGTTGCAATCGTAAGATAAGAAGTAACAGATAAGTTGATCTTATCAACTGAAACAGACAACGATTGAGACAATGCATGGATAGCTGGATAATATATGAAGCTGCTTAAGCCAGAGAACAAAGCAGCGTACGAGACCATGGCAATAATGCACCATTTTTCGGCAGTTGTATAAAGAGAGTATTCCTCGACTTGTTCGATGCTTAGGCGGGTATTTGTCGATTCCATGGCCGATATCGGATGGTCGTAAATGATAACTCAAGGAAATTCGAGGTTTGTGGGCTAAATTCCAAAGCGTTGGTAAACAGAAGGTCGGTAAGGTAATGTTTCTTCTGGGTAAGCAAGGCTGAATATGAGCCCAAGCCTGTCGGTCTGGTATTATGACGTGTTTCTGGTCACTACTCTTGCCGTAGAAGCCTGGAGCAGCGGTATTTAAAAGGATGAAGAACAGGAACACCGAAAAGAAAGACTTCCCAAGCTCGCTTACGCCACCTAGCCAAGCCTGCAGCTTGTTCATGAGAGATTTCGGGTGACTCTGCTGCATGTTTTGCATGCCAAGCACCACACGGCTGAGAGGTTGACAGCCTTGTAACATCTAACATCTCCACACGGCTCTTACATTTGCCCCCTGTTGAATCTGCCCCTGTTGAATCTGCCCTCATGGATTTTCTCGTTGCTTGATGAGTAACGTGGTTCCCAAACCAGTTAAATATTCAATATAGTTCGGTCTCACCTTGAATGTTATCCCTGCCCAGGCTACTGAACACGACCAAGTTCTTGTCAAGAGCCTGGGTTTATCGTCCCCTAGTGTGCTGGAGCAGCTTTCATGAGGCGATTCGAAACGCCAGGCCACTTGGGTGTGACGAAGCCGTGAGGGAAATGGCTGCAGTTGTTAAGTATCTCAGGTACCTTGGCCGCTTCTTGAAGGAATTCAAGGACCCTGCAACCCTCTACAACGCCTACATTTCTCTATAAAGCATCTAAGACTAAACAAGTTCGTGTTTATAGTAAGATAGTTGCTTTTTCTAACGCATGTTAACTTTAAGCAATAGTACAATAGGGCTTATTAACTAGCTGTACTGGGGCGTGAGCAAGCACTCTAAGCCTTACTCTACCTAGAGGGCGTACGCTCTATGAAGTTTATGCTACACCTGCAGAATGGTGGATGTCAATACTGTGCCTATAAGGCTGATAGAATAACGTGATGTCGGGCGGTAGTGAATGTGGGGAGGTGCGGCTCTTGGAGATCCCCGCGGAAGAGTAGGCTGCTGAGAAATGCAGGCTTATCGATAGGTGAAAGAAAGAAATCTAAGCCGAAGTCGCACTCCCCTTCCAAACCCCCTCTACGGGTCCTTTCTGCTCATATTTCTGCTATAATATCTCCTCTCATATAAATTGACTCCAACACGCAATTTCTAGACTCTAGCAGCTTGAAACATCGCGTTCCCGACTTTTCTGTTCTTCGTTGCCACAACACCCCTCCACGACCACCATGAGCGCCATTCTCTCCGCTGACGACCTGAATGACTTCATTTCACCTGGCGTCGCGTGTATAAAGCCAATCGAAACGCTGCCTGTTCAAAAACCAGAAGATGACGCTGTTCGTACCTTTGAATCTCTTTCCTAGACTTGAACTAATGCCATTATAGAATGCATACGAAGTCACGACCGAAGACAAAGTCGCCGCCTCGATACCTCCACCTCCGGCGCAAATATCTCTCACAGACTGCCTCGCCTGTTCAGGCTGTGTGACGTCGGCGGAAGCCGTGCTGGTGTCACTGCAGTCACATACGGAGGTGCTGAACACATTGGATGCGCATCCCTCAATACACGCGCCGTGGCTGTCGCATAATGGATTAAACGGGACTACGAATGGAGACACATATACAAGTAATGGTGTTGGCAATGGTTCCAACGGGATTCACACAGCTCCAGAGGGAAAGCTGTTTGTTGCAAGCGTCTCTCCGCAAACACGCGCCAGTCTTGCCGCAACCTTCGCAGTCTCCGAATCGCAGGCCGGGAACATGATATCACAGCTACTCAGCGGACCCATGGGCCTGAAAACTGGTGGAGCGCATGGCAGTAGCTTCACATGGGTAATCGACACCAACGTCGTCCGAGACGCTTGCCTAGTTTCCGCAGCAGACGAAGTTCTATCCGCCCTCTCTCCATCTACTTCCCCTCCCCTCCTTTCTTCCAACGGAGGCGCCATAGACACCCCTCCGAAGAAGCCCATCCTCACCTCCGCATGCCCCGGCTGGATTTGCTACGCCGAAAAGACCCACCCCTACGTCCTCCCGCACCTTTCCCGCCTCAAATCCCCCCAAGCCCTCGCAGGCACCCTCCTCAAATCCGTCCTCAGCCGCCGCTACAACATCCCCGCCTCCCAGATCTGGCATCTCGCCATAATGCCCTGCTTCGACAAAAAGCTCGAAGCCAGCCGCAGCGAGCTCACCTCGGCCGCCTGGGCTCCCTCCTCCCCCGCCTCCCCCCCAATCCGCGACGTCGACTGCGTCATCACCGCCCGCGAGCTCCTCCACCTCGCCTCCACCTGCGCCATCTCCTTCGCCGCACTCCCCCGCACCCCTCTGCCCCCTTCCACCCGCACCGCCTTCCCCGACGGCCGCCTCGACGCCTTCCTCTTCCCCCGCGCGCGCGGCCGCGGCGCCCAGGACCCCGTCGCCGGCTCCTCGGGCGGCTACCTCCACCACATCCTGCGCACGGCCCAGGCGCAGCATCCGGGCAGCACGCTGCGCGCCGAGCGCGGCCGCAACGCCGACGTCGTCGAGTACACGCTGACGCAGCCGGGCGGCGGCGGCGGCGCCGTCGTACTGCGCATGGCGCGCTACTACGGCTTCCGCAACATCCAGAACCTCGTGCGGCGGCTCAAGCCGGCGAAGGCGAGCCGCATGCCCGGCGCCGCGCGGGGGGTGATGAGGCGGCCTGGTGGAGCGGGGCCAGAGGCGAAGGAGTATGCGTATGTGGAGGTCATGGCGTGTCCGGGGGGTTGTACGAATGGGGGCGGGCAGGTGAGGGCCGGGGAGGTGGAGGAGGTGAGGGGGGAGGCAGGAGTAGGGGGCGAGGAGAGTGGGAAGAAGGTGGGGCCGGTGGAGCAGAAGGAGTGGTTGGGGAGGGTGGATGAGGCGTATTTCTCTGCAGGGTCTGATGAGGGGGAGGATGGGGATGGCGATACGGATATGGGGGGTGCAGATGATGGGTTGGATGTTGTGGATGGGGTGTCGAGAGCATATGTGCATGGTATCCTGCAGCACTGGGCGGAGCTGACGGGGGTGTCGGTGCGGGATCTGGTGTATACGAGTTATAGGGAGGTTGAGAGCGATGTGGGGAAGAAGAAGAGCGATGTGGAACGGGTTGCGACTCTGGCGAGTAGTATGGGTGGTGGGTGGTGAAGTCCTGCATGGTCAGCATTTAGATTCGAATTGGGGGGGCATTGACGGCGTTCTGGGAGGGTATTAGAGAGCGGAGGCAATGGGGGTTGTCGCATTTACATCGGAGGTCTGGATCGGGACTAGAACAAAGTCCATGCCATCGGAAGCTTTACGCCAGCCGCCATTTGGCTGACAGTCATAAGGGAAATATAACATCGGTATGTTGACGTTAACTCGCCTCAAAAACCTGGTTAGGATGAATGGTTGCATGAATTTTAACGACTCTATAAATTGCATCGAGACTTGATCATCGATTATCAGACTTACGACACTCGCACGTCCATAGACCCTGGATCACCTCTCAAAAACTAACGTTGATAGATACGTTGATAGATAGATGAGATGTAGTAAACCAAAGCCAGAAAGTCCGCCAACGTTGAGAAGTATTAGGATAGACATTGGGGAGGTTCTGGTGTTCAAGCCCTGGTCTACAGTGACGTGAAGCCGCTTTGTATTGCAGCGGTGGACTGTAAGCGTGCTCGCCCTACAAGAAAGGGAGACTTTGAAGGATTTATGCCGTTCTGAGGGCCGAAGCTATCGGGAAGAAGAGGCCTCGGACTTGAGGTTGAGAAAAGGACGTCATGCTCCTAAAGTCGACCTCGTAATGAAGTGAACTAAACTAATCTGGAAGCATGAGGCTGTGATAAGAGGATCATGAGATCGACAGCTGGAAGCTGATGTGTGTCTCGTCACTGTAGGAACCTTTTGCTTTGATTAGATAGACTTTCACGCATACAGCAAGCTACCATATCATCACCCTTCAAAAACGTGAGCAGACACGTGACTCTTCCCACTCTTCTAGAGAATATCAGTGCAGCCACCATGATTCAGAATTACTCGCGCCCGATTAGGCAGTTATATCCCTCACTGAGACAACGGAATATCACACACGGTTGCTGCCCAAGCGTGAAGGCCTGACCTCGTCGCAAATCCACCCTGCAGCAGTTCGCAACAACGACGATCAGTTAGCAAAGCCGACGCATGTATCGCGGGAAGCCCAAGTCGTACGTATCATTGCAGCAGATGGCCCTTTCTGTAGGCACATCACACACTCACTGTTCAGTGCACTGACGCACGTCAACCCACGTGGGAGGGTTCGGACACCAAAAGCGGCAGGTCTGGCAAGGACCACGGATATTGAGACACTCGCTCGCCTGGATATGCGTTTTGGCGATCAGTTTCCCGCAACTTGTGGCTTGGGGATGCGCTCCTTTTCAGATGCATTTGCCTCTATCAAGCGTGGGTGTCAGGACGCGACCACGTTTTGTTAGCTACTCAGAAGGCGTTGTTGGTGGTGAGCGCGCAGCCAATCAGCGCGAGAGACGCGCGTGGAGAGACGCAGACCGCCGTTATCCGCGGACGCAGCCCGTTTCATGTGCTTTTGGTTGGATTTGGCAATGGGTCGCCGGATGGGGTGGTACGTTGCTTTTTGCGGGCCCAGAAGAGAGGCGAGAGGAAGATGCCGTTAGATCGTCGAAAGGTTACCTACGGAGCGCGATTTACGGGAGAGGTCGCGCGAGCGACGTGTCTGCGAGCTTGCTGAGTTAGATTTGTTGCGGCGAGGCGGTGAGGTATTTGGGGCTCGTCGCTGGCAATGGGTTTGCTTCTTACAAATTGTACAGGTCTAGGTACGGGGTCCGGAGGCAGGGCTCCAAGGTTGAGCTGCCCGGAGCGAGCGCATGGCCGAGGTAGTAATCTGCACAACCAATATGGAGGTCGTTGGTGATGACTGTGGTGTTTGGTGCCCGAGCTGACGGCGGACTGGTACGGGCCGTACCTTTCGCCCTCGGCTGGATCAACAGTATCGGACCGGGCTTGTCAGAATTTGGTGAACTAGAAGGGAATCACAAGGCTGGGCGAAATGTAAGAAGAGAATCGGAACGACTTGGAAAAGGCTCGTTGCTGGGATGGGATAGTGACATTGATGATCAACGAGGCAGAATCGATAGCGGAACGTTGGTGGTTGACCTAATTTGGGCTGTGGACGAGGCTGTACAACTGCAGGTCTGATCTGACTGCGCAGAAGCGCTGACCAGAGGAGCTGCAATAGTGCACAGCGTTGGTTAAAAATAAGTATCTTAGTTAGCCCAATTTGAGGGCTGAGAGGTAGCTGATGCTGCAGACTGCCTGAATGCACGGAGGGGAACACAGTAGTAAAGAGAAGGTCTAACATGGTCGGCGTATCACAAAGCCGTCAAGAGAGTCTGAGGGGAGAGCGAGGGCGAGAGCTGATACGTAGCGCAACGGTATTCTCAACGGTCGCGCGTCAGCATTCTTGCATCACCTCTTCACTGCAGTAGACCGCCAAACAGGATTTTCCTTGGAGAGTAGCGGCGATCCTATTTGGCCTTGGGGGGCACCTGGACCGGTTAATCTATGTAATTAGATGAAGTCTGACGAGGCCGCATGGGAAGCAGCTTCTGAAGGATTTCGCGACGGGGTATGCAGTGGTGAAGGGGAGCGCACGGCAAGAATAAGAGGCTGAGGCTGCGCTCGCGGCGAGATTTGGTGGAGCGTTCGAGATGGGAGGAGGTTTCGGTGTGGGGTCCGCGGCATGCATAGAGAATGAGCTCTGTCACGCATTGGCAACGGCTTCTGACATGACAGGACGCGAACAAGGCTGATGCTCGAGGGCAGCGCATGGAGGTGGTTTGAGGTCCTCGGCCGTGATGGCGCCAGTTAGAGTTTGCATTCCACGGCTTTGATGCCGCAGCCTGCAGCAAGACTCCACGATGCTGGGCTTGGCGGACGTCTGCAGTGCTGAAGCAACCCTCGGACGCTCCCCAATGCCGGTGGCACATGAAGCCATTCGGCGCCCGACAGCGTGGGTGGGCAAGTTGCAGGATCGCGATGGCGGCGGTGGACCCGGGTGCGATGCGGCCATGGCCTTGCTTGCTGATGAAATGATGATGTCCAGCTTCCCAGGCCGAGTCTCGTGTGAGCGCCAGCCCGGGACCAGTCTCTTTCGGCGTGGCTGCTCGGGGAAGGGGGCCGCTCGGCCCAGCACGAGTCGCCAAAGGTGCACGCCTGGCAGCCGACGGCTTCATCCGGCTAGGGCTCTTCCGCAACAGCGGCGCCGGGAGGGATTCGCGCTGCCAATCGGCGGCCGGGCGGGGCGGGCCCAATTAGGGCTGCAGATAGAGATAGTCAGGAACCTGACAGGCTGCGGACTCCACGGTGGAGACGCCCTCAGGCACGACAGGCCAGCAATCTCCCGCCCATGTCGCCGAGACGCCCTGGAAAAGGGGCCACAGGGCCGCTTCCGAGTCCGCCGCCCATGGCCCAGCACAACGTGGCAGCCGGCGAGCCGTCTGAGAGCTGCTTGTTTTGACCGCCTGCGACAGCGGCCTCCGAGGCAACCGGCGCGCCCGACAACACCACGACAGCCCATGGAGTGTTGACGATTGGGAGTGCTGCAGACGCGGCGGGCTCGTGTCGTGGGCGCGTCGTTGAGCTTGGGGGCGCGTTGGTGATGGAGCAGTGATGCACCGCGGGCTGCACTCCAGGCACACTGCACACAGCCCGCACGCACAAACGCCGTCCCGAGCAGCAGGAAATTGGAGGCCGAAAGGGGCATCGCGGCAATAAAAGAAAGGAGGCGGCCCAATCGCGTGGTGAGACTTTTCGACGGCTGCTCCCACGCACGTTCTGAGCCTGGCGTGCAACAGGAGCGGCATCGCGGAGAGCAGCCGCTGCCTCTCCGCTCACTCGCGACGACGACCTCAGCCCCCCAGCCAGCGCCTCTCCAGCCTGCCACTCCCAACGCTGGCCCCAAGCCCGTGCTGCGACGAGCAATACCACGCTTCTGCCCGCCTGTGCCCGCGACAGCCACATCACACCCGTCACCTCCATGGCCCCGGCAGCAGACCAGACGCCAAATCGCGCCCGCGCATGCGCCTGAGAAGCCCGTCGTCCACCGCCCAAGACACGTCCATCGCGCGCACCTCACGCCTCACACCGCTCTGCCTCTGTGCGCTGCCCGTTCGCTGCTCTCCCTCACCGCGCCAGACCGCTCTCACGAGGCCTGGCGTCGTTACGGGTCCTAGGCTGGTCTGCTCGCCGGCCAAGCTGCCAGCACAGCGCGCAAACCCGCCCGCGTCCATCACCTTCACGGCTCACCCCAACCACCACCACGCGGGAGCCTCCGCAACGCCAAATCCGCTGCTGGGATCGCCGCCTGCAATATCATTTCTGCCATCTCTGCGCCGCGCGCCCTACATCGTCGCGCTTCCTCCCTAATCTCAACGGCCTGTGGCGCTAGCCCGTCTCACACCCACCCGAGATTGACGGCTGCGATTCATGCCCGCTCCTCGTCACTCGAAGCTCTTCGAATCGCAGTCTCCTCGCAGCGTCAGTCGATCGCTCCCGCTGCTGTGTGCAAGACGCTCCAGCTAGCTCCTGACTAGCATTTCTCCGCCGCGGCCCTTCACTTGTCACCGCCTCATCCACGCCGGCTGCAAGCTAGGCTTAGGGACCTCTTCCCCGACCTCCTTTTGCGCCTCAGCCTGTCTTCACCACGCACAGTGCGCCCAAATTCCCCTGCCTCACGCCCCTCGAGCTATGGTCAGGGCCTTATTCCTTTTGATCGATTAAGGTGGACCCCATTGCCGGAACCTCATCCGCATACCGTGGCCCTGGACCGCTCCACGTTAGCCCGCAAGCCTCTCTCCCAGCCGTTGTCCCTCTTTTCTTCTACCCTCCCGCCGCTGCATCAACCCGGACCCTGTGAACCTCTTCCTATCTGGATCTTCGAACCGCTCGATACGCTCTGAACCTCGACTCCTCACCCCACCTAGCTCTTTCACCTTCGCCCTTTCACCTCACTTCTCACCTTCACCCACGCTGAAATGAACACGAGGAGATCATAGCACTCTCGCATATTAACATTCACAGGAGCAATACAGTAAGCATGCCAACCTCTTCAACATCTTGTCATTCACTAACAATCTTCATCAGCCTTAAGCTCTTTGAACTATCGAGACAGCTAGGCCATCTAGCAATCTTGTAGTGAACCGTCAAGATGATTGCATACGAGACTCAACACCGAGGCTGGTCGTCTCAGGATTCTCAAGCCGCTACTTCTCTAGATGACAAGTTCGAAGTTATCAAAGACATTGGCGATGGCAGCTTTGGGAGCGTCGCGCTCGCACGCGTACGAGGCGCTGGCGCTCACATTGCTCGACGAGGGACTTTGGTATGTTGACTCCCAGGCTCCGTTTCACGAAAGCGTGTGACTGACGCGTCACAGGTCGCGATAAAGACGATGAAGAAGTCGTTCGACTCATTCGCGCACTGTCTAGAACTACGGGAGGTCATCTTCCTACGGACACTACCTAACCACCCTCATCTCGTGCCCGCCCTTGATATCTTTCTGGACCCCTACAGCAGGCGGCTCCACATCGCCATGGAGTACATGGATGGCAATCTGTACCAACTTATGAAAGCAAGAGACCACAAGCCGTTAGATCAACACAGCGTGAAGAGCATTCTGTTCCAAATCATCTCAGGTCTCGAGCATATCCATCAACACGACTTTTTTCATCGCGACATCAAGCCAGAAAACATCTTGGTTTCCACATCAGCACCCACAGACTCAGGTAGCGCATTCCGCCGGTACTCAGCATTGGTGACTCCACCATCAACACCACCGGCCTACACGATCAAGATCGCAGATTTCGGACTAGCACGTGAAACACATTCGAAATTGCCCTACACGACGTACGTTTCGACGCGATGGTACCGAGCTCCAGAAGTCTTGCTCCGTGCAGGCGAATATTCGGCTCCAGTCGATATCTGGGCGATAGGTGCAATGGCAGTTGAGATTGCGACGCTGAAGCCACTCTTCCCGGGCGGGAACGAAGTCGACCAGGTTTGGCGAGTGTGCGAGATCATGGGAAGCCCTGGAAGCTGGGTCAACAAGCAAGGCGTGCGCGTTGGAGGAGGAGACTGGAAAGATGGTGTCAGACTGGCACAGAAGCTAGGTTTTTCGTTCCCAAAGGTGCGCTTCTTGATATCAGCAGTTTGAACGTCACTAACACGATCACAGATGGCGCCACACTCAATGGACACGATTCTCCAAGCGCCACAATGGCCAGCCAGCCTTGCCAACTTTGTGACATGGTGTCTCATGTGGGACCCTCGGAGCAGGCCAACTTCATCGCAGGCCCTGAGCCATGAGTACTTTGCTGATGCCTTCGACCCTATGAGGCCCAAGTCCTCAGCCTCAAGACTCCTCGGTCGCAAGCAGTCGGATCTCAGTGGTCACACACTGAATTCGCCAGACTCGACACACAGCCTTACGACAAAGACATCGTCTTGGTTCAGACGGTCGCTCGTCGCACGAGAAAGCGCCCCAGCCGTTCCTCAGCACACTTCGACACGGCCCGTGTCACCTCGCCCTTCGCCTATCCAGGCCGTCACAGTGGAGCCCGCCGCTTCGAGTAAGCCCCGCCCCAATGTAACCAAGCGAGCCACGTGGACGAACGGTGTACCGTCGAATGCTGCACCAATTCCAATATTGCCTTCCATCAGACCCATCTCACCACTGTCCGATACAGTGACTGCCCGAGCTAGTGTGCGACCTGCTGATAGCGAAGAGAAAGCTGCAAAGAAGATTGGTCGTCAATTATCGGTCGCCTCGCACGGCAACCATTATGCAGACCTCCACCGCCAAGAAGCGGAGAGGGCACTGAACGGCCAATCCGGTCTTGCATCGCCTCCCAATGGACAGAAAGAGGGTTTCTTTTCCCACCTACGGAAGCGTGCTCGACGTCTATCTGGTCGGTACCAGGCTCCAATGTCGCCTAATTCAGACGACATTGAAGCGAACGCAGGATGTGCCCCGTGGTCAACGACAAGCGCCCGAGGGACCATGGCTGTCGATCCTTCGGCGCCAAACCCACCTTCGCACCCGGACTATGCCGATTTAGATAAGGCATTGCAAAATGTGAGGTACAGTCTCGATGCCGCGTCACATGCGACTAACAATTCAAAGACATCCTCGCGAGTTGCTGGCAATCCAGGCATCAAGCGACATCACTCATTGCCGCATGGCCAGGAGACCCGATCTTCGGAGAATGCTCCTGGCGGCCCAATATCCAGCCGCACGAGGCGAGCGCTTCAGAAACAGTCGAACCCCTCAAACCGATATGAAACACCCAATGAAGAGGAGGAGCTTCTAGATGAAGAGCTTAACTCCACAGCAAAGGCCACCCGGCGATTAGCAGGTCCTGAGAAGGCCACTGCCCCAATTCAAGGGCCGCGGCCTCAGATGGGTCAATCGTCGAGCGACATGGGTCCGTCAGCTTCATACCTCACTCCGTCGCCATCCGCGAACCGGGATGGAGTCAACTTTGGCCATGCGCAGTACGCAACGCCCTCTAAGCCCATGAACATTAACAGGCCTCATCCCGCCAAGGAGGAAGTAAACTCGAAGTGGCCGACACCACCGTACGACGAAAATGACTGGGCTGCCTCCGCCACAGCAAGCATATTTAATACGCAGGCTATGTACCGGTGATAGTCGACCGTTACAGTCTGCCAGCGCTTTCGATTCAACATTTCCTTGCGTATCTTACAACCATACTATTAGTGTAATACGATTCCATATCTCGGGCGGCTTTCCAATCATTTCTATACCAGCCTGCCAGTTCAGCGCACACCGCCAGCCATCACGTTGACGTCGCACGCACGAACGGGCCCGTCAGGTACGGACTCGATTCCAGAGGATGCAAAGAGGAGTGCACGAATCACAAAAATACGAAGGGGCAGGCCGCATTTTGGTTGGTGTTTTGGGCGTTTTACACACTTTCCTCGATCGACGGCAGGGGAAAGCGGATCGGGGTAAACATTTCAAAGTCTTTCGTTACTGCTTACACTTTTCTTCATCTGCATAATACCTTTCTCCCACACTATTACCCTTTTTCTGTATCTGCGGGAATAGCACAGCCAGCGACACTTTGCAATAGAGAGTTCCACGTTTCCCTTGCGTTTTGCGTTTGTTTCCTGAACTTGAAATCACTTTTTTTGGCGGCATAGTTGTCATTGCATGCAGGTGTCGGCAATGGGAACATCGGGGTTCCTCAGGTTGCGAAATTTGTGTCTTTTTTTCTGCTTCATACCCCCAATCCCACAAACTCTCTTCGAGAGTCATGGGCGCCCATAGTTTTTATCCCTTTCGTCTCTTCTGAGACTGGCAAGGAAATTGCCATTGTGTAACAAATACCAAATTCCATCCGTCCAAACCCACCACCATTTTCCTCCTTGTACTTTTTCGGACACCTTTTAGAGATACCTAGAGAGCGCTGCTTGTTGCTTTTTTGTTGTTCACACATCAAATTTGCCCTTATTTTCTTTATAACTGAATCAATCTCCTTTGTCGTCTGTCGGACTGTAAAATGAACCACTTGTTACAATTAGCTGAGCTGCCGTTTTTCTGGGAGGGGGTTTTTGGAGTAAGACCAACGTGTCTTGGTCTGGTCGTTGTGGGGAGGTGTCTCGTCTATGTCGGGTGTCTGAGAAGGGGTCTGGTCTCGTGAAGACCCACCGCGTTAGTAGTGTACGTGTTTTCGTAGATCTTAATGCTGAAGATTGGAGACGGCGTTGGCCGGGGCTCTGAGACTGTTGTCCTATCACACTCGCTCCATCGTGTGTCTTCATGCAGAAACTAGTCTTACGTGATGGAGATGGCGCTGTATCTGCTTTCGGCCGTCAATATCAAGCCATAACCCCCGATTCGACACCCGCCTCGCCCTTACCCACAGACTCACCTGCAGCGACAAAAGCATTGCCCACAGCTCAAAACCTATCACCAGCCAAACGCTCCCCATTTCCCCACTACCAGTCGACTCCTCCAGTGAATTAGAAACCAGAGCCAACCAAGCAAGCACCCCCCCCACATCGCACACCCATCCCGTCACACCACTCTCATCTCCACACTCTCACGCGCACAGCCCACGTTCCAATCCGCTCGAACGCAACGCCAGACGCATTTCCTCTCTAATGTCCACCCCCAAACACACGTTGGTACCCGATTGGCGCCCTCGGGCGTGGCTATCGGCGCTTGTCTTGCGGGCGTCCACCCACCGCCCCAAAACATGCGGTCTCCGAGTCGTGCGTCGCTTCCGCGCGCGGCGGCTGCAGCGGGTGCCGAAAGAAGAGGTTTGTGGTAGCATGTGGCCTTTTGGGGGGGGGGGGGGAAACTGGCTGCTGGCTTTGGTTTTACTGGAGGGATGGCGATGCTTGTGGGGGTCTGATGCGGGGAGACGGGGGGCGTTGGTGGTACGGTTGGGGTGTGGGCGACGTGGTTCCTGTTGCTTTGGGGGGGGGTTTACGATTTGGAGGATGTGGGGGTGGAGGGAGGGAGGGAGGGAGGTGGGATCTGGGGTGAGTTGGGCGATGGCGCTTGCCGCGGTTGGAGGAAAGGAATGGATTTGGAGGATGTTTTGAAAGTGCTGTAAGTGGTGGTGTGCTATTGTAGAGGCGTCCTGTTTTGAGGAATACGTGCCAGGTATTCAATCACGTGACCTTTCTACTTATGATATAGTTATCTCTTCAACTGTTTAGACTCTTTTGAGGGTTTTTTTTAGAACATCTAGGGCGTCTTAATAAGTCTGGAATATACAAGGGTTCTATCTACTTGGAATAAAGCTGCTTCTATTAAAAGTCTACTAGAAGCGTATAAAAGTGTGCATATAACTACTAGCCCTATTTATTCACTATATTCTTTTGGTGAAGTGTTAGGACGTGAAAAGTGCTGTAGTTCAACTTTAGTAATGACAGTAGAAGATGAGGGCCTGAGATAACCATGCTGAGTTGCTTTCAGGACTTTTCTAAGTACGTAAATTCAATACCAGCCTTGGATTCAAGAACTCCAAACGCCTATTGCGAATCGCTATATGCCCTCTCTCCATTGTATACATTATACTATCGTAAACGCCCTCGCATGTATCATCCCTGAAACAATGATATGTAATCCTTCTTATATGCGCCGGCAAACCTTGCTCCATATTGGATATAACCTCTTAGGCTTCATCTCCATTCGTAGCATCTTGTCCCGGATTGGCTTCTTCATAGTTGAAGTACTTAACGAATCTGTAATAGCCAGCAGCTAAGGCGCCACCAAGGAACGGTCCCACCCAGTAGATCCAGTGATAGCCAGGGAACTGCGTAGCAGCGACAGCGGGACCGAAACTACGGGCTGGGTTCAAAGAGCCTCCGGTATAGTAGACGCCTATATCAAGTTAACTTCTGACGTTTAACGAGATCGTCTTAAGAAAACATGACGTACCGCCCATCATCGCAACAAAAAGCGCGAGTCCAACGCCCACCGGCGCGATGAACGTATCTTTGCTCTTCTCGACGGCGAGCATAAGCACCACGAAGACCAGTTCGGCCGTCATGAACATTTCGATGAAAACGCCTTGCGCAATGCTTGTACCCGGCGAAAGCGTGGTATTGGTGCTGGCGATGTCGCCGGGGAACATGCAGGAAACGAGAGCGCCTGCACACATTGCGGCGATGATTTGGGCTGGGAAAAGGATCAAGCCGCGTATAGGTGGAAGCGCGCCTGCAAGAACCATGCCGAAGGTGACCTTCGACGTTTGTGAGCACTCAGCACTTCGTGGGAAAATCGGGTCCAGCTTGGACTGGATGGATGCGAAAATACATACCGCAGGGTTGAACAGCCCGCCACTGATTCGGTAGAAAGCCCAGACATTGACCAACAAGCTGAAGCCATAAACCAGAGCCGTGAAGATATTCTGCTGGCTGCTTGGTCCGCCATTGGCCAACGATTTCTCGCTGGCCTGTGTGGTAAGCATGATTTGGCATGCAAAGGAGAAGTACAGGAACATGAACGTCCCTACGAACTCCCCCGACGCGGCGACTAAGTGTGCTTGAAAGGTGCCGAGCCTTGGAGGTAATCGCCCACTGCGTTGGCCGTTTGCGTGGCCACCCTGTTGATGTTTGGGTTCGCGATGGACGGGGAGACGTGCCATCGTTCTTGCTTGGATGAATCAGGAGGGTATAGGTGTAAAGATGATGGGATGGACCAAGCTGTTTACGCGGAGAAGTTCAGGAAGAAATGATATAAGCACAGTTGACTGTCGAGTAGGAAATATCTCTGCTTCCAAACGTGCAAACACGTCTGCACAAATTCCCCCCGCACATCCATCTGCACACTGACAACATGGCGGAAGATAGGAGTCTTAGCGCGGCCTATGAAATGCTTAACGCAAAGAAAATGACAGATAGATGATGACGGAGAAGGCGTAGTGTGGAACGAGTTGTTAGCGCCCGCCGTCACTATGCAGCGTGATGATCCCGCGGAGCATCCGTCCCCCATCGTCCCAAGGGAAACGCGATCGCCCACGGAACCTATATGCATGAGCGCGTTCTAGCCATGGTTTGGCAGGCTGTCGGGCTTTTCTATTAGTTGGCGGTTGCGGTCGAGAGGCAGATTGGATTTGTTGAAATATATTGATGAGTTTTAGTGACACGGCGCCTGACGTCGGAGTGATGATTTCTGGTTTGCAGAGTCCAAGCAACTTTGACCCCCTTGTCAAGCCTCCTACCAGGGCCACATACACCACCTTTTGTGTATCATGGGCGACTGCTTGAATATTAGGTGCCTCCTTGGCGTCTCGGTAGGTGTTGGAGTTGTAGTCGTTGTGATAGGTTGCAAGCACTTCAGTTCCTTCGCTCACCCGCAGTTCTCCAACACGCTGGAACCCAGACACATACATGCCAAAATCTGCGGATCGTGCAACAGGGGATGAGTCTGTCCCTCCAGTCTTAAAGGGTCCTGTAACGATCAATGGACAAGGTAGCTATCAGCCACGAATCTTCACATTCACGTCAGCAGTCATTTTTCAGAGAGGTAATATGTATTTCTTGGGCAAAGGATGCGGGATTCCGGGGCAGACCTACTCCTTCAGATTCATTTCTCAAGCCGATAGTCTCGTTGGTAGGAAATACATTGGTAGTTGGTGTTGGGATCCCGCTTCTCCCTGAGGGTCGCACACGACGTTGGGTCGGCAAGGCTATCGACTCTTCTTACCCGCAATCCCATTCCTCCCCACTTCTCAAACCACCAACCGCGGGATACATCACGAAGATATCGTAGCAAATGAGGAGTATTCATCTAGGAAAAAATGACGACGACTTCTTCCACCAAACTTCGGTTCAAACCCCCACATCCAACCTTTACCGCTGAAGTCGAAGGACGCAACCTCACAAAGTCCGTATTAGACTCCGTGATGAACCAACTCAAAGCATACAAACTGCGCCAATCCTACGCGTGCCTCCGGCAACGATCGCGGTCTTACCGGCAAGACTGAAAAAGGCTTTAAGATATGGAGAAGTCATGCCTAGATACTCAAAAGTATGCCAAACTGATCAGAGAGGGTGTGCCCTGTTCACAAAATAGTCCGAACTCTACGACAATAGTGCTATTCAACGGTCAAACCTAGTCTGATCACTGGAGCTAGTGTAGGTACCTATCCCAGTGGTGTGGCGCAGGCGTGATGCTTGAGAGCTATTCCGCTTGTGCCGCAATCCATGGAAGCCAGCCAGGAAGATGAGCATGAGCATCGCCAACCGAGTCGTACGCCATCTAGTGTAATTACTCCAACCGGCAAAGCTTTGCGAGTCAGCTTCCAAACCTTTCGTCTCTTGAAAAATCATGTTAGCGCTTTAGCATTCAAGGTTATCAACTGTTTGGTTTAATATTTCACATCTATGACTTGATTAGCGAAAAGTTGGTCTCAACGACACTTTATTAGCTAATTGGAACAGCTGCTCGCTTTGAGGTGTTTTATACTGCTCTACCAAACGCAACATGCCGTCTGCGCAAGAAATTACAAAGCATCGGAATCGTCACTCATGCTGGATCGTGATTGAAGGTCATACATACGATGTGACAGACTTCCTTGACAAGCATCCAGGCGGCCCAGACACCATTCTTCGGTATGCTGGAAAGGCTCGTGTCGATTTTTTTTGGAATATGTCTAGCTCTAATTTATCTCGAGGACGCCACAGAAGCGTATAGACCGATACACCCTCCTGGCACAATCGAGAAAGAGCTTCACCAAAGTAGGTTAAAAGCATATCCAAGGCTATTTTTCCTGACTTCGAATAGGTAAACATCTTGGCCTAGTAGATCTCTCCACCTTTGGAAAGGACAAATCGTCCGCAAAACTATCTCGTAGCAATGCATCACCGGAAGACCGAAGCCGCGTCCACCTACTCCCGCGACAGTGCCATTCTTTCACCCATCCCAAAAGAGAAAAGGATATTTTTGAGAGGGTTGGCGTTTCGTCCGTTACTCCACGAATATGTCTCTATTCCTTTGATTGTTGTAACTCGACTCATGACTGCCAGTTGCTCATGATAATATTATTCCACAGATCCAAATCCTCCCACACCAACTCCCCTTCCGCAGGCCTCCACTCGTCCACCCCCTGTTCTCTCCTCGCGCCGTCCATAGCCATACCCCCCTCTTGGTCCCACGCCTGGCTCTGAACCAGACTCGCCGGCGTCGCCACAACATTCTGCGCACCCAACTGCCCACTCGCATCCTGCACCGGTGCCTCCTGCTGCGTCCAATTCGCCTCAATAATCTCCCTCGCGACCCTTATCGGCCGCCGCAGCTGACGCAACGTCCGCCTCGCAAACGACAACCCACCCGCCACGGCCTCCATGATCCGCATCGCGCGATTAAACAGATCAACCGCCGGCCGTATCAGCTCCTCGCCATTACTCCGCCGCACAATCACACAGATGACCGGCACTAACGCACCCGTCAGATGCAGCCCATACGCATACCGCTCCGCCCGCCTCAATCCACCAGAGCTATACGACAGCTCGACCGCCGCCACCATATCCGTCGCGATGTCCATGCAGAGCCGCGCGGTGCGCGCCGCGTAGCGCAGCGACACCATCTCGCCGCGGCGCAGCAGCATGCGCAGCGCGCGGATGCGCAGGTAGAGCACGAAGCTCTGCTGGACGCGGAAGGCGGGCGCCGGGTCGGCGGCGGCGGCCGCGTGCGGCGGCGGCCACAGCAGGCTCGCGGGCGTCTGCCGGCCCAGCGCCAGGATCTTCGCGTCCATGGCGGCGATGAAGGCTGGGTTGGCGGGCTTGCGCACGCGCACGCCGAACAGGGCGTCCCAGATCGTGGAGGAGAGCTGCGCCCACGCGATGATTTGGAGGAGGTAGGGGATCAGGGAGGCGCTGTGGGTTTCCGGCAAGGGCGGGCAGTTGGGGTAGAGCATGCGGTCGTCGACGCAAGAGGGGAGGGCGACGTCGAAGTCGTCGTCGCAGAGGAGGTCGGGCACGCCCGAGTTCTGGGCCACGTTGTGGTTGAGGCAGTAGAGGGACCAGAAGAGGCGCTGGCGGTAGGTGCGGTCGTAGAAGCTGCAGGAGGCGCCGCCCCAGGAGGGCTCGTTGTGCAGGCCGAGCTGGAAGCAGAGGCGGATGGCGGTGCCCATGGTGTCGTAGGCCGCGTTGAGGCGCGAGATGTACAGGCAGTAGGAGCTCTTGATGAGCAGGATTTGAATCGTCGTGATGTTGGCTTTCTCGAGCCAGGTCGCGTGGCTGAGGAGCTTCTCGCCGCGGGAGAACTCTTTGCAGCCGGGGGGGTTGTCGTCGGATGTGCAGATGTCGTACAGGATACGGCCAACGGCCATCATGAAGTTGAGGAGTGCTGCGAATTGGACGGAAACGCTCTTGCTCATGCAGTTCGTGTCGTTTGCGAGGAACGCTGCGAATTGAGCGCGGAAATGGGCTTCGTTGATACAAGGATAGTGCGGTTGTATGTTTGCGAAGTAAATGTCCAGGGACTGCATGACTTTGTCCATATCCTCCAGTCGCGTCTGGTCCACAATCTGATCTAGATCGCGTTTCACACTAGCCGACAGATTCTCGTAGTCCATGGTCTCGGAGCCTGGCTCCTCAGGTAGCAAAAGCATTGGATCGTCGCCTTTCCCGAGGTCGCGAGCAACAGAGCGGTCCAGGACGTCGATCTGGTGGAAGAAAGGGGATCCGCCCGCAACCTTGATATTGAGTTCGAAGACATTCTTTGGTGAACCGACTACTGACGTATTCGTTGGTGAGAACTGCGAGGGGCCTACTGGGGCTTCAGTAGGTTTCGATTGCTGTGCGGTGGTGCGGTCGCGCTCCTGGTCTCTCATCCAAGCCAGCTCTCTCTTGAGGGCTTCATAATCTTGCTCGAGAGTTTGGGTGCGGGATGCCAGCTCAGTGTTACTATTTTGGTCAGGCGACCTTCCTGGACGAGATTCTAGGCGAGATTCGGGATCAATCGTACTGCGATTTTCGGAGGTCGAGTTCGGCGTGGATAGATGTGTGGTCTTTTGTTTCTTTGATCGATTGGTTGGTGTATAAGCACATTCAGATCTCGAGTATCGGCAATTTCTACATGGAGTCCCGCCTGTGCATTTCCTCTTTCGCCGTTGGCATTCGATGCAGGCATGTAGTGTGTATCTTTGGCGGACCCTGACTGGTTGCTCGTCGCTCGATGTCATTGCGTCGGTTGAACTGAAGCTTGTCTGGACCGCTCTTGCATCAAAACTTCCTGGTCCTAGGAGTGTCGAGCTGCCTCTAATGAATTCCCAATACATCCAGTTGTAATGAGTAGAAGAAGAACCCTGAAGAGATATCCGCCGTGTCGCTCCTAGCGCAAGGAATACAAATTGTGGGGAAATGAGACGTGGGTGAATTTGACGGTCACAAAGGGTTGGGTCCTTAAGTTAGATTAATAGCAGGTATGATCATGAAGGTACCCCGGGGCTTTTAGATGGATGTCGCGACGCATCGGAAGCAACAGATTGTCCCCCCGGTGCTTTCCGGCAATTCCTTCACTTGTTATGGATCTTTTTGCTCTCGATATCAGAGAAAAGATAGTATACAGTCAAGTAAGTGAATACTGCTGTGATAATATAAACAGAACTTGAACAGGTAAGTGGATTGAGTGTAGGAAGCAGGGGAATTTTAAAAAGCTATAGCGGGAAAGCAGACAGACGCGATCTTTTACTATGTAAGGTTCATCGGGCTAAATATGGTGCTAATTGAATCACCATCCAATGGTAGTACTCGGATTGCACTTTTGAACGTTGCGAATCAGTCCGCCCCGCAAACTCTTTTCCAAGAGTCTGGGGTATGGGGTTCTGGGAACGGAAGCGGAGCCCATCCTCTCCGAACCCGCGAAGAACTGTAGAAGGGAATGAAGCTGTAGCCGAGAACTTCCGGAACTTTGATACACCAAATACCTTTCCGAAGACCTTTGTCAATGTGTATGTTAATCAATTGCTATCTGAACACTCACTAAATCGAGCTTGCTATGTAGCATGCTCGCGCAATGCGCTTGCTATATGTTCTAATAGGGTTGAGCACATTTCCAAAGTACTCTCTTTGCCGTCTTTTCCCGGGCTCTTTGAATTATAGCTTGGTATGGAACTTCTGAACCCAGGAATATCTACAGTAACTGACCTCTCTAGATCCTGCGTCTTGACCATATGCGGACGCAATTGATCTAGACCGGTCACACCCAGCGGTCGCATCGAGGTCTCCAGTTCGTCGCTGAGAACTGAGAGTAGATGATGGCGCTGAATCGATTTGACGTCCCCCGTGGTTGCTGAGATAAATGCTTTGGATGCCCATCTCACACGCAATCTTCGCATCTTCTGCCGTCAAGATGCCCTTGATAGATATTGGTCCACTATTACCCCACTCTTCTTTTATCCACTCTAGATCATCCCAGCTCAATGTAGAAGAATGGGCTCCGCGCAAAACGAAATTGTCGTCTTTTCCTAGAGGGTGTCGTGAGCCCCAGAAAGGTACAACCTTCTCGCCCTTTTCGAGTGCATCTTTGATTCTATACCTGTCGTCTTCTTCACGCATACCCAAGACTGGGTTATCAACGGTAATAACGAGCGTTTTGAAACCTAACGCCCGGGCACGGCGAATCTGCGAGATTGTTTCTTCTTCCGTCTTTTTCACGTAGAGTTGGAAGAAGAGAACTCCGCCACCCTTGAATGTCGTCAGACAGATGGCGTTGATGAAATCTAGAAGAGACTGACTTGCTCCTGCTTTAGACATTCAACCAAGTCTTCATGAGACACCGAGGAGCTATTGCTCGGACAATACAGAATATTGTGCCTGGCCGCTCCTCGAACCAGACAAAGCTCGCCGTCGGGATGACCAAGCCGTGCCGATGCAGCCGGGGCGATGAAGAATGGAAGACTGCTCTTGAACCCCAGGATCGTGCGCTCTATGCTTACATGCTTGACATTTCTCAGTACACGCGGGCGAAACTGTACTCGGCTCCAGTCGCGGAGGTTATCCTCGTGGGACTGAAAAGCTGCTGGGGAGAAGTACACCAAGCCCATTGAGCGAGTACTCTTTTAGCGGCGAGTTCGAAATCGTTGAGATTCATGCACGTCTCGATTGGTATGGTCAAGGGGCAAAGCAGGCTTCGATGGGGATGCTGGGACGGTTGAGATTCAGATATATCGTTCCGACAGGCCTGCAACCTTGCTGGGCTTCCTTTCGTGGGGACAGAAGGGTTTACACATAATACACCTATGATTCGTTGCCCCTGTTTCTATTAGTACGTGGAAGCACCGCAAGCAGTGTCATAAAGATATAAAGAGATCTTTGTCCCGATCTCAACTACTCCTCAAAGGGCTTCCGTACTCTGTTGCGCATATAGTACATTGGGTAAGACTATCATGTTATAAAGCAATTGATGTTATCGAGAGGCTTTATGAGAAAGCGATGTTTGCGAAGAGAAGAGCGAAACGATTCCGGAAAGCAATACTGAGGGACACAAAAGAAAGCAAAGTATAGAAAGCGCTCGATAGAATATAAGGTAGTTCACTTGAGACGCATGTGCAATTTTGGATACAAGATTCGCCAATTGCGATGCAGGGGCATGGAGACAAGAGATGCTGATATTTCCGTGTGGACATGTTCGGTTTGTGGTGGCTGATTGCTGTAGACGGCTGAGATTTGCTCATGGTGACAAAAGAAACCTGTCGAGCCCGTCGAACAACGCATCTACAAAAGCTTCCACTACGTTGACGGCATTATTGAAGGAAATGACGGACTCTTTCGACTGGACAGTTGTCAGTTGCTGATGCGGATCCCCAAGCCCGGGCTCTGAGTGAAGTGGCATGCAGTCTCCGCGGCCGGCTTCGTCCGCTTTTCGCTCTCAAATCATGATTCAACACAGAACAGCGAAGCGAAGCCCCCACAACCCACGACTCAGCTGAAACGCATACCTATCGAGCTCGCACTCTCAGACGGTATGCGTTTTTCCTCCTGGCAAAATCCTAGATCTCCGATCTCAGAAACGCGGCTAGCACGATCAAATCGGGAATTATTTCGAGATGATGACCACCGTCTTTGTGTGCCGAGAAAATAAGCAGAGAGATCCCAGACTAGGGGAAGCGATATCAACGCTAGGCAGCAGCAGCGGTGAAGAAGTGCTCTTGCGAGGGAGTGCTGGTACTATAGCCCGTTTGGGCCCATATATGGATCTAGCTTTCACGAGCACGGGCGGTGGGGCTTGCGAATACGACCCGGGATGAAGGAGCGAACGAGAAGAAGATTGGAATGAGACAGGGCGAATGGACCTACTAGAATGGATGGATGGGAGATACGGATGGGCCAGAGTGGGGGTCTGGAGGATTAGGTGGATTAGCAGCGTCGGTGTGAACTTACTGTGGGACTGTTTTGAAAGTATGCAGGTTTTGATACTGCAAAGGAATAAATGTCAGAATCTCGACAATGAAGAAGGCATCCAACGTGTCGAGGCTGTGAAAATAGCCACGTCAACTATGACTCCACGTTCCGCGCTGCGGCTGTAGGTTGTTTTGAGCGCGATGTGCTGCGGCCTGCTCGAAGGCTGACATCACAGAAGAGATACTTTGACATCACTTCTTCGATATCCGCAGCCTCTTCAACATCTAGTTGCGCTGAATTGACCGAAATTCGCGACTAGGCTCCCCCTGAAACGGCGGCGATGACTCAAAGGGTCATATGTATGAGTCCGACGGGGCGATATAGACCGGAAGGACGTCACAATCCATAGTGCCCTCGTCGTTTGCCTCTTTGATGCGCGAATCCTCGACAGAACGATGCTTGCGACAGAAGTGGTCATCGGACCACGTCGAAGGAGAGTGGCGAAGTCATTGCGATGCAGATGCGATCGAAGTCGGCGCGAGTGTGTGATTCGATGCCGATATTTGGATTCCAGTCGAATGGCGTGGCCGGACTGCGGTTACGTGGTCTCTTTGGCTGCCTTTGCGTTTGCTTTCGACTGGATGTCGGCGGGAGCCTTGTAGGGCCGGCCTTCGAGAGGCCGGTACAGTGCGATCTGTGAAATGGCCCAGCTCGCGCGAGAATGGCGAGGAAAGGTGGCCAATTTGAAGTTGGGATACGGCGATAGAGTGGTGTTGCCCCCGGCTTACGCCATGTCGCCACCGCGAGCATCTCGAACTTCCCAATAGAGTTGCAGCAAACCGCTGTACGTGATGAAGATGATACGTACCAGATGAGTCAGGAGTGCTGCGCCACAGTCAGCTCGTGCTCGCCGAAAGACGGTCTCAAGTTTAATTCGACGTTGCTGGATATTTTGGGCGCTGCAAACGAAGCAGCACGCAGCTAGCGGTGGGATGCAGCTCTCAGCCTGGCAGGCCTGCAGGAGTAGCCGCGCAAACGTGGCCTCCCGGATCATCCGCTGTCGACGCAGCCTGCTGGACTGTGCAGACGTCCGACCTGTGAACTGCGTCATTGCGTCTCGTAGGACGCTATTCGCTGATACCAACAGCGGAATGCTGGCCTGATACAGTGGGTGCAGCAAACAGGCGACGGAAACAGGTGACGGACCCAGGCTGTGAGTGCGAAGGAGCGCGCTGGATGAGTTGTCGGCGCGTTGGTGGGAGATAGTCGAGGGTGTTGAGTATCGGTGAGTATCCGCCAGGCTGGTTACAGTGGACATCGCGGTGCGGAAGAGGGAAGTACTCTCCCCGTGCGACGCCACTGGCCTTTTCGGCGGCGCAGACCAATGATGGTGGTGGAAAAGGGGGGAGACGGTCAATATTCGTGTGGGCGCCAAGATTTACAGTGCATGTCCAGTTGCATGTGGGATTGAGAATGGAGGCTAGAGAGCGTTAGGGGGCCGCTAGTGCCGGAGGAGTGAATGTCCAGCGGGCCATGGCGGTCCGTTCTGCCCAGTCAGACGGCTGGTAACCCGCAATGCGGTTCAATATTCCTCCTTTCAGGATAGAAGGGGGCCCAGCGGGAGATCGAATCCCTGCAGCAAGCGTGCGTGCGCTGCGTTGGCCAGCTGCAGACTGTCAAGTCGGCCGTCAAGTACCGCGAATCATCGCCGCGCGCGCAGTGGGCCTTTTCGCAAGAGACAGCACTATCTTTGCCGGCCAGAGGGAGGGCTTGCTGGACGAGACGGCACTCGAGGAGCGCAGAGTTGCGGTAAAGGGACGGCATGAAAACAGTGACTTGTGAGACAGGTAGCGAAAATTTTCACCCACGGAAATGAGGTACTCGTACCAAGCGAGCCGCATCAAAACAGAGTGCGGCTCAGCGCAAACGGTGGCAGGGCCTCCCACGCTTGCCGTCTGTGCAAATTGGCCCGTTGAGCTTGGGAGCGCCATCGCGTCCCAGTGTTTCGGATGGGGCCCACGACTCTCAACGACGCCGCCGCCGCGACTCTCATGCGCGACACCGGCCTCGTCGTTGTCGTCGTCGGTGGGCCTCCGTTGGCAACTGTCGCATCGTTGCAGACGTAGCGCATGCATCCAGTGGCCCGGTGCAGCTGAGGGGCGGCGTCGTCGTCCTGCGAGTGGCCAGCACCCGATCGTGTCCGCCGCGGCCGGAGCAACACCAGAGTCGGGTGCTGGACGTGCTGGACTGCTGGACTGGAGGGGTGCAGCGCGGACCAGCGAGCGAGCCTCCGCCAGAGCAGCGGGTGCGGATGGACAGGCTGGAAGGGAAGGCCGCTGCTGTGTGGGCGCCGGCCGGACGTGGTTGGGACTTGTTCCTTGTCTTCACGTCGTTCCTGCGAGCGCACAGGCTGAGGGAGGTCTCGCCGTGCACACAAGAAACGGCCTGGATCGCATGAATCGCTCGCCGCTGGTCAATATCGCGGAAGTGGCACAGAAAGCCGTTCGGCGACACAGTGCGACGCTGACGGCGGGCCTCTGCACCCAGACGAATCGGCCGCCTTCCACGACGCTTCGGCGGGCGGCGGACATCAACAGCCTGGAATGGGCGCCATTACGGAGGTACCGTACGCAGTGACAGGAGCAGGGCCGTACAGTACCAGCAGGGCCGTATGTAATCGCAAGACTCGACAATAAGAAACAGACGTAACAGCGGCAGCCGTGACAGACGCGAGGCGTGACAGAGACGGCCGGCAGGCGTGACAACCATGATGACGCCAGGCAGCCAGGAGCAAGAAACGGTCAGGCTGCCTTTGCGTGCCCTTTCTGAGCCTTTCGTCGATGCGCTGAGCCTCCCGCCGCTCTTGACGAATCTCGCTTCGGGCCTGCGCTGAGTCGAATCGCCTCGCGTTCTGGCTGCACTGACTGCGCCGCCCCGAATAGAGCCCTTTTGAGTCACCCTGCGAGATTAGCTCATGAGGATCGCGCCAGGGGGGTGTGTCCGGGTGCGGTGAAGGGTGTGGCTTGGGGACGACGGGGGGCAGCGGCTGGGCTGTCCTGGCCCTCCGAGTTAGCGCGGTGCCGCACCAAGACTACATATTGGCGAGTCTGCCCGACTCGCCCGGGCGCTGTCCACCACCCTCACCACGATTATCAAGCACCGGCACCGCACAACACCAGCCCTCAGGATCTATCGCGATCCTTCTACACGCTTCGAGTCAGCCAGAACAAACCAACAAATGTGCGGAGTCAAGAACCAGTTTTCCCTTTCTTCCTCCGCAGAACCACCCACCTCCACCCCCAACACGTCCGCCGCCCAACGACACACCCACGGTTTGCAGTCGCCACGGTGAACAGGCTCCTGCCTGAGTCCGCTCTCCTCACTCCCTCGCCATATAGACATCCTCAGAACCACCACTTCCACTGGCGCCGCCCGTGCCGCTCGCCCCCATGAATTTCCACCCGACATACCCAACGCCCCCGCCGGGCTACATGCCTTACGACTACATTCGAACGCCGCCTGTGTCTCCGTCGCCGGGGGCACACGGCTACTACTCGCCTCGATACGCCGCCAACACCGCGACACCGTCGCCTCGAGGCTCTCCAAAGACACACGCGCGACGATCCAGCCAGCAGGAGCCGCCAGCGTACGCCTATACTTCTTCTCGTGGTGCGCCTCAGTACTTCCAGGGCTACTCGTCGCCGCGATACTTTGCCTCGCAGCAATCGACGCCTCAGCGCAACCCCGACTATGTAAGTAATTTCGACTATACTCGAACCAAAAGTCGGCATTACCGCGATATGGACGGCTTGCCCTCAATGCACCGATCCTCGCGCGAATCCAAACGCCGTCCCTCGCACTCGCGATACGCGCACACGACGCAAGTCTTCGACGATGGCTACGCCTACGTCTACGACAGCAACGTCTACGACACCCCTCCGCCTCCGTACGAACCGTACGCACGATATCAGAGCTACGGGCGCAATACTGATCACTATTATCACGATCAGGTCCCAATCTACACCGAGGCAGAGCCCACATCTCGCTCCCGACCCCGTCGCGCGTCCCACTCAAGCCGACCTCAGCCACCCACCCCGAAGCGTCCATCGACTGCGAAGGCGACTCCACGGGCAACTGAAGAGGACGCGCGTCGAGCGGGAATTCCAGCTGGCTACTCGTACAAGAACTGGGATCCGACCGAAGAGCCTATCATGCTGCTAGGCAGCGTTTTCGACGCAAACTCCCTAGGCAAGTGGATCTATGACTGGACTGTCTTCCACCACGGGCCTAGCACACCTCTCTCTGAAATTGCCGGCGAGCTCTGGCTCCTCCTCATTCAACTAGCCGGCAAGGTCAAGCGCGCGGAAGAGTGCATGACTAAGATCCGCAAGACCGAGAGCCGCGAAATGGTGGAAGACTTCCTCGAGAGTGGCGAACGCCTCTGGATCCGGTTCGCCAAGCTGCTCAAAGTGTGCGAAGACTACATGTGGAAGGCGGCTAAGAAGGAGACCGGCGACAAGAAGCCCGTGACCATGGGCAAGAACAGCGGCTGCGAGTTCGTCGACTCCATCTTCGGGCGCGATCGCGAGCTCGAGAAGACCGAAAAACTCATGACCGGCATGCGCCTCTGGAGCATGCGCTTCGACGCCAACTGCGACGATATCCTCCGCTACCCCTCGGCCTAGACTGTCCTGCCTGGCTTGCGCAGGACATCATTGTTTTATGCGATTTCCTCATTTTGTTCGGCTTGTCTGCTTGCTTGCTCGCGGAATACCCATTTCATTTCTGCTTTTAATTGTAATTGATTCTTGCATGCATCTTACTTTCTGCTCTGGAATTCACGATCGGGGACTGTACTACTGGGAAGGAAACATGGGAAACTCAAAGAAAATGGAAAGGCAACTATTATTGCATTGGGGCTGGTTTTTGATCTTGGTTGGCATGGCTGTGTGCTTCTCCAAGCCGGCTCACCTTCACATCGCTTCATTGGGCTTGCGCAAATTGGGTTTCTTGGGGGTTCTCTCTCTTTACTCGAGTCATCGTTTTCAGCGACTGCATTGGGGAATTTTCATCATCGGAAAAAGTTTGTGAAAGGAGTCGATCCATTATATCCAACCCCCCTCTCCCCCATTCATCTTCAGTTTTCCGGTTTTATCGTTGAGACTGGTTCTAGCGATTCTTTTTGCGACTCTTTATATTACCCTTAGATTATGGGTTGGACGATATATCCGATCCATTTGGTAGCCGCGAGGCTAAAATTATGAACATACCTTTATATCCGCTCTACTATTGCGTCCTGCTTCTCTTGTGATTGTTTTTGCTTCATTATCCTATAGAACCCCTAAATGAAAGAAAAAGAAACTGTATTTGCTATATTGCTCTATTCCACTATCACAATTTGCAAACGTGAACCGCTCTATTCCCACTATCGCGAACCGCGAATATGACTCGCATTGGTGGTTTTTGCTTTTGTGTGGCGAGTCCCCCTGCTGCCGCCTCTTTCGATTTTCCGCCGCCCCCCACCCACCACAGTCCGTGAAACGAAGGAGCTTCCCACATCGTCGCAAAAGCGCCTAACATCCCTCACCCCTCCACATCTGAGGAAAAATCTAGGCAGCAACGAAGTAGGCATCACATGAAACAAACCATGAATCACAACCTCTTTCCTTCCAGCCAAGGAGGGGTGGGTGGCATAAGCCAATCCTATCGCGCCCTCGACGCGCCCGTGGAGGAAACCAAGAGAGAACGGGGCACACGCCTGCGGGTGATTGGGCTGCGCGCTTAGAAACCGAGCAAAACCCTATTGTAAGTAAAGCTAGTTAGTGGCGAGGGCAAACGGTTGATGTGCGCGGAGCTTGCATGTGCCGCCGCCGCCGCCGCACGCCCGCCGCGTGGGAAGCATGGAAGGGCTGCGTGGAAGGGCGGGAGATAGGCTCGCGCGCTGTGATGGGAAGGTCATGGCGGCTAGCGGTGTTGGGGTCTGCGAGCAAGACGGCGGTTCACGCAGCGCATTCGGGCGTATCCGAGGTGCGGGTGCGGGCGTGGGTGGGTGGTCAGCGCCGTTGTCGTGAGATAGGATGCTGCATTCTGTAGGTTCCACACGGAGATGGCGGGCGAGTGGGTGGATTGTCCGTTGGGCGTATTGAGGATTTCCGGAGGATCAGGGGTCTTGCTTGTTGCTGCAGTGTTTGTTTTTGACTTTGAGGGGTTTTGCACATCGGTGAGGCGCGAGGCGCGAGGCGCGAGGCGGCGGCGGTGGTGGACGGGGTTTCAGAAAAGTGTCTGGCAGGAACCCAAGGCTTTGGGAGAGGGCGTTGGGGGAAACGCGGGTTTGCCAATGAGGCACTTGCCACGGCTTTCGGATCAGGCGAATGCTGTTGCCTCTTCCAGGAGAGGCTGGTCTCAGTATCATTTTGCATAGAGTAGTGCGCGGCTCTGTTCTAGACCAACGGAGTTTGAGGTTCTGCTGTTCTGGGTGTTGAGGACGTTGCACATGACATCTAGAATCAATGCTGTGGGACTGGGAGCAAGGCTGGACTACTGTGTGATAGTCGGATGGTGGTATGCTACTGGTACGATTGTATTTGTGGCTCATTGCCTATCGAATCTATATTACCCGCGTCTTATGCACGCGGTGGCCCAAAGCCTGATATTGGGTGACCCAATTGAACGGGATGACAGCTGGCTTGGCGATCCGGTGGTGGGTTATTGGGTACCTGTTAATTCAAAAATGCCGTGGTTTAACCATGAATGATGGGACGAGATGGACAGATAAGTGTGGCACAGCAGGCCGTCAGTGAATAGCAAGTGGGTGTGCTGACGGCGCCCTTACAGGAGATGCTGCCTGCGGTGCAGAGTTGCGACGTTGGTGATTTGCTTATTTGCCAAAGATATCTTGCACTCAGGGATGGGGTTGCAGAACAGTGTCTATTCTGCCACTACCCCTGGGGCACAGCACCGGCGGATGCACGAGCTGATCAGACGTAAAGGGTTGAACAAGGCTGTGATTCGACAGCTCTGGATCGCGCAGAGAACGAAGATGGCAGATGACTACGAAAAGGAAGCGATGCTTGCATTCCAGCCAAAGAGAGGGAGTCTCGCTCGGGCCGAGGATATCCAGTCCGATTCTCTCGATCAATTCACTCAACCCAGCGCCTATCAACGCCGCAAAGACGGTCCAAGGGTCGTACAACACTTCTTCCTCGCACGCACAGTTGGAGTTGCGCCGGTGACCTATTCCGGCGTTTCCAGCCCGTCGTCTCATTGGCACACTGTTTCATCGGCACCCTTCAGTCGTCATGCTTCATGCAGGCAACCTCACACTCAGCCATTCACAGCCCACTCCCCCAGAAACGCAGCCCCCTCTCTTGCTCCTCATTGACGCTGCAGCATGCACGCTCAACCCCTCGTTCCCAGCCCCCATCCCAGCCACCGCGCTTCGCAACCTTCGCATTCCAGCCATCCGCTTCGGCTGCCCTCCCTCGCTTCCATGGCGAGTCCTCTTCGGCTAATGAGGCGCGAGACGTCCCGGCCCTACCGGCCGCAGAAACGGTCACGCTGGCAGCTTAAGGGAGGTGATTGAGGCCGCCCGCGATCTGTGCTGGACGGACCTGCAAGCGCCGAGGTGATAGAGGCAATGAGGGGCAACGAGGGGCCTAGAAAGACGTCACTCGACCCTTTTTTGGCGAGAAGAGTTGTGGAGTCGTGATAGAGGCGCTGGGCTATCACTTTGGCTGCATCTGGCAGCCGCTGGAGAGGTATGAGATCACTTGGACGCTGCCGAGGGTGTTCCCTCCAGCCGTCCGGAATCCCCAGGTACGTGATGCATCAATTCATGGATTCAGCCAAGGCACGGCGCTCTCCGAAGAGTCAATGGCTGCGGCACGGAGGTGGTGAGGAAGGGAAAAACACGGCACTGGCTACCAAGTTTCAACACCAACACCGCGATCGCCAGCAGACCCCACGTGCTCCCCCCTCCTTCCCTTCGTCTTGCTAAGTGCAGCATCTCGTCCGTAGACACCACCTCCAACTCCGACACGCGCCTGACCCGCTCTACCGGGCCCACCACGCAGCATCGACGTCCCAAAGTCCGGCGGCACAGCAATAGTCCTCAGCAGCGCACCATGCGGCTGCTGTTATTTTGGCGGCCCCCGCCGTGAGCCTTGCTGCTTGCAGGTTAGCTGTGCATGGAGTGTGGCACAAACGGGCAGTGCGGCTGCGGTTCCCATGCGCTCCCCAGAACGACGTTGCAGCCGGTATCGATTACGCAGCCAAATGCAGCGAAGATTACGGGAGCGATGACGCCGTGCGACGCTCCATCAGCTTCTCGTCAGCTTTGCCCGCTATTGAGCAGTCTATATTTACGCTACTCAAAATTGCGGCGTAGTTGAGAGTTTCTTTCTTTGGATGTTCTAAAGTGGGAGGAGTGGATCGCAGTCCGACGGCAAGGCCTGGCTAGCCTCGAACCATGGCAACACCTCTGGTGATGCAACCACGGCTCGGGGTGGATGGCGACGGGCCACCGGCGACGGGGTGCGGGTGGGTGTCAGCATGTCTCTCCGGCGAACATGCGTTCATGCCGTTGAGTAGCAGCCACCGCTAACCAAGTCGAGATCCAGGGACTAGGATGCTGCATGGCCCAGACTTCAGTGTCTGAACCTGTTCATTCAGTAATCTTTCGCCCATTTGGGTCACCAGCATGCCGTTGTGGTTCCAACTGTCCAGACGTAGATGGAGGTCTCAGTCACTGACAGACCATGGTCGTGGTGTCGAGGACCAGACTCGAAATGGCTTTGGAAACAAAGTGGTCTGACGATTTCAATCTCACATAGCGTGCAATATTCCGAGCATAAAAATCGACGGTGAGTGCGTCACAGTGCCCAGTAGATGCCATGATAGTAAGTTTCGTTAATGCTTTTCTTTTCTTCTGTTTCGTCTTTATCACACATCACACTACTCGCAAGTCCATGGTCCAGTAAAAGACCTCAATCATACTTCTAGCGATATCAGGCAGTGTTCAATACTATGAGTGAATTCGAAGCCACGTAACATTTTCTGATGTTTAAGTCGGTATATGATTTGTATACTATGGTGCTATCATCTGTGTACGATATCGTCACTAGACGAAGACCTCTGCGTCTTATTAACAGACCTTAAGTCATATGGAGAACACAGAATACCGCCGTAGTTTTTGTCTACTATCTAACAACGAAACTCAAAGCCTCGCATCTCTCCTTCCATTATCCACCTCTTCCTTACTGTACACAGTAGGCTTAATTCAGTCAATTGAAGCCTCAAAGGTCCTCGCGAAACTATAATGATGGTATCCAGCGTAAAGAAGACTTTCGAAGTGCGAAGAAGTCTCGTCCAATTCACCATATCCCGCTCCTTTCCGCCGCTCAGTCGTCCACCATCAACTGCAAATGGCTCGCTTGCTATAAAACCCACCCTGAACTGAATCACCTACATTCAGAAGCTCAACACCACCTTTAAGTGCCTACAAACACACCAAACACTCAATTCAGCCCTACAGCCAACATCACCACAATGGCGCGCCAAACCCAAGGGCAAGTTCCCTCAGCCCACTCTCAATGCCCAATGCTAACACCAACCAAGGCTAGAAAATTCCGACTACCAAATCCACCTCCTCTCCCCGTCTGGCTCTCGCCAAGGAACCCTTCACCTCCCCTTCGCTGCCCTCTCCCTCAGCCCCGCCCTCCGCCAACTCCACTACCCCATCCTCCTCCCCACCACCAGCCCCACCCTCTTCCGCCCCATCGCCCGCTGGCTCAGCTTCCGCGAATCCCACCCCTCCCCCGCCGAGCGCCATCCCGCCGTCTTCGCGTGCTTCCATCTCCAAAACCCCGCCCTCCTCCTCCAGGCAGCCAAGACCTGGCTGTTGGCCGGCACGCTCGGCCTGCCCGCCTTCCAGAACGAGCTCGTCGCCCATCTGGACGAGCTGCAAGACTGCATTCCGCTTGTCCCGGATAGCGAGCTCCCGCGGATTGATAAGCGCGTGTTTAATGTGTTGCGGGCGGAGGGACAGCGCGCGGGGCCGTTGTTGGAGTTTGTGGCGGATTGGTATGCGAGCCTCTATGAGACAGGTGAGGGGCTGGTGGAGGCGTTGATGGAGGCGAGGGTTGACGGACGGGTGAGGGAAGTGGTGCTGGGGAAGAGGGAGTATGTGAATGCGGGTGTGTCGGCGGATCGGGAGATGTGGTGCGTTGATGAGCGGGTGGGGGTTAGAGGGGATTGGAGGGGGGCGTTGGGAGTGGCGGAGGGATATGGGGAGCAAGCAGCGCAAACCGGACGATCGAGTTCGAGGGGATCTGCGATGGGCCGGGGAGGAGAGCGTCCTATGAGGCCTAGTCGAGACGGCACTAATATGCGCGAGGATGACTCGAGAACCCAGCAAACATCGAGGGAAGAGACTCCTGAGACGACGACGACTACCTCGTCCTCGACTCCGGCTACGGTGACGAACAACTACAACATCTTCATCAGCGACCCCAATTCTGACCAACTCTCCGACATTCTTCGCCGCATGAACATCGACCCATCGACCATTCCAAGCAACACTCCTCGAGCCACCACACCCACTGGGCCCACCATACACGAGCTTCCATAGCATACAGCAGCTAGTCCTCTTCCGCAAGGCACATCATCCCACCCAACCTGCCCTCAAAACACATCCGAAAACGCCGCAGGCATCAATACCAACCCGTTCCCATCCCGGCGCGTCCGCTTCGCGGAGAGGAACCACTACTACGAGTATCCGTCTGTCGAGGACGTGTCGGACTCGGAGGGGGAAGACACACCGCCGCCCTCCCTGCCGCCGCTGCATAGGAGACGGAGTGCGATGGCGGGATCGATGCAGAGGTTCGGGGGTCAGGGGAACGAGCAGGGGCAGCGTGGTCGTAGGCTGATAAGGATAGTGCTAGAGAGAGGCGGTCAGATGCCGCGTGGTGGTGGGTCGGGGGGTGAGGGGATGGGCCCGGATGGGGGTGAAGTTGGGCGTGCTGAAGGGGGAACACAGGAACGCCGTGGTGCTCGGGGTTCGATGGGGGGTATGGGGGATGGAGCACGGAGGGGTTTTCAGAGGAGAGTGGCAAGAGTGATTAGGGGTTGAAGGGAGGTGAGTAGGGCTAAGGCGGTCCAGGGAGCCAAGCCCTGGCTCGAGAGAATTCTGGGCGTGGTCTTGGTGTGAGGCCTCTACAGTGCCTCGTCCTCATCCCGTTAGTCTAGGGTCTATTTCCAACTTCATTGAAACCACTTTCTCTAGTTATCTCGCCAGCAATATCTGTACACTTTCCTCTCAGTGCGTCTAGTGCTTCAACGCATTCTCAAAAACCCAGGGTGACGATCAGCTCATCCAGTCTGTGTACACCCCTTTACGACTACCTGGAATGGCTTCGCAAGTCTACTAATTGCCCAGAATGCTGAGTTTTGTTGTAATTCACGAGACTGAGAATAGTATGGGGCACCACAAGCAGTACAATAGCCGTGTGCGGGTTTCTATGAGAAGATATGTATCTTCTTATATCTAGTTGAGGACCGGATAGACCGGACTCCCAATCCAGAATACCAAAGTCATCCGTACTCATCTCATATATATCAAAATTCCTTCTTCTCACCAGCAATACCCCATCTCTCCTACAAGCCCTCACAGCCCATCATTCGGCTCCCAAAACCGCATCCACCTTTCATCGACCTGGGTCCCCTCCTCATAAAACCTCAAATCCGTACTCAACCTGATAACCCCCCTCGCATCCTCATTCTTACACGCCCCATGAACAAGATACGGATTATGAAACACGACATCGCCCGCCTTGAAATCGCCCACCATCCACTTCATCTCCCTCCCCTTTGGCCCCACCCCCTTTTCATCCCACTCGTTACTCAGCTCCTCATACAGCGCGGCGGCGTCATGGCTCAGCTGCCCGTCCTTCGCCATGTTCATGTTGAACGCGTTGATGCGGTCGGCGTCGGAGAAGCCGGCCGCGCGCTCCATGAAGGATGCCTCCATGGCGCGCCCGAGCGCGCCCGAGTGCGAGAGGTACATCAGTCCGCCGCCGGCCGGGCTGCAGTCGCCGATGGGGACCCAGGCGGTGAGGAAGTCGATGGGGCTGGCGCGCAGGAAGATGCGGTCGTAGTGGATGCCGGTGCTGAGGCCATTGGGGACGTTGTGGCTGACGGTATGTCAGTGATGGGTACAGTGGGGTTCAGGTAGTAGGTAAGTTGTGACAGGTCGGCGCGGTGAGGTGGTGTGTGACGCTATGAGGCGGGAATAGGGACCGTGTTAACGTACCGTAGCATCGTCCGCTGCACCATGACATCTTTCTTCCATCCCATGAAGTCGCAGATGAAGCCGCGCAGGTGCGGGTGTTCGAGGAAGGCGAGGTAGATCGGGGTCGTGTGGGCGGAGGTCAGGGCAGCTACCTTCGCTACGTCGTCTGGGAGGTCTGTACCCCCGACACCGGAGTGTGCAATGGGGTCGTTTGTTGGGTTGAAGATGCCATCGCGTGGGGATGTGCCAGGGGCGAGAATGCCAGTGTGGGCGATATGGGAGAAGTAGCTGAGAGAATGTCAGATCAGATGATATGACGGTCGAGTAGGACAGATATGTGCCATGAGAATAGGCAGGAAAGAGATGACTGGGAGAGGTAGAAACGCACTGTTCTCGCATATCGAGGACGTCTTCTCGTGGTATGACGCCTTTCATCCATACATATCCGTCTTCTTCGAAGCGTCGTCTGATTTCCTCCATGGGGGTGTCGATCGGGGTAGATCGCATCCACCCAACACTATCGGACTCTATGTACTTTCCATAGTTGGATCGAAGCTTGGGGAGTTCATTGGGCTCGATATGAAGCTCATGAGCGGGTACAGGGTTGGATTGGGTTAAGGTAGCCATGTGTCTAGAGATACGGAAAGATGAGAAGAGAACGATTGCGAGTCACAAGCAAGACAGGATGAGGAAGATGAAGAAGCAGAACCTTTGAAATAGCAAAGGATGTATGCAGGAAATATATCAGCTGCACAGTTGCGGTCCCGTTAAAGTAATCTTGCCCGCTAAAGAAAAGTGGACTCTAGTGGAGCGCGGGAGTGTCTCTCGACCCTGCTGACCACTGGATAGCTTAAGATAGTAAGAATATCCGCACTTGAGATTGTGGCTTCGAGGGTAGGCAGCGCCTTTACCGTCAAAAGAGCGTGTAGATTGCCTTATGCGTCGAGCGGGGTAATATAGTGGGGCATATCTGGAGTAGTTCTGCTCTAGTAAGTACGACCAGTTATGTTGACGACGAACTCAACATCGTGAGCGATTGCTAAACGTGGCACTGCCGTGGGGTGCACTTGCGCTCGTGGAGGTGGGGCGGTTGCTGATAGTGTAGACACTACTCTAAACGGCACTGTAGGCGAAGCCATCAAGGATTGGAACAACAACCTACAGTATGACGCTATGCATCATGAGAACTGTTCATAGCCTAGTGAATAGCCTAGTGGGTGGAAGTATTCTACTTATCGGCTAATCGACCATGTTCGCCCCGACCTAGATTCGAAGCTGGAGTGAACTGATTTACCACCATGACGACCGCTTGGGCAATCAATGTCTCGAATCAAGACCTCCCGCCCAGCTTGTCCTAAACCACGACATCTGATCCGGAATCTTGATTCAAGGAGTAGTGATGAAGTCGGACTCCAGGTCGTGGTTTAATCAATCACATCCATTAGGCTCCTTATCATATGCGAAGGCAGCACTCCCAAACATCCTCCGAAGCTGGGAAAAGCATCCGATTGGACGGTCCGATGAGAAAGGTGAGTAGATCCGACGTGTCACAAACCAATCCTCAACGTGCATGTGTGTATCACAGCACGAAGTAGTCCAAATGTAGGCCAAAACATGTCCTCTATTATTAGTACTTGATTTTGTGTGGCAAAACAGATATATAGTACAAGCCGAACTCGAGCCCACTCATCCCTCGTTCCCTGACATTACATGCATCAACTTTTCAACTCAAGCAACACTTCCAAAGTGGACCAGAAGGAGTCCCCAAAGTGCATTTACAAGGCAGCAGCGAGCGCGAAAGCAGCCGCAGCCATCATACCCGCCGCTTGGGTCACCTGGGCCGCAGCACCGGTGAACTGGGAAGGCGAGGCAGTCGCCGACACGGTGCCGTTAGCAACGGGGGTGGTAATGATGGTACCGGTGCCGACAAGGCTCGTGGCAGTAGCAACGGCGGAAGAGGCGGGGATGGTGGTCTCGACGGTCAGGACAGCAGAGCTGGCCGGAGTGGACTCGGCGCTAGAGTAGACTGCAGCGGAGCTGGAGGCAGCCACTGGAGTGCTAGAGGCGGCCGGAGTGCTGGAGCCACCGCCAGGGGCGCTGAGGGAGAGGGGAACACCAGCCTGGGCACAAGTTCCTTCGACGGCAGTGATGACCTCTGTTTGGGGAGTTAGTGTCTAAATTGAACTGGTTGGATTTATATGTCGAGGCAACTTACTAGCCTGGTCGCTCGCAGAGCATGACGACTGGACGCAAGGGGTGACCTTGGGGATCAGGTCGGTCTTCTTGCAATGGCAGGTGAAGTCGGTAAGACCGGAGCAGCCATCGGTGGTCAGGACAGTGATGAAGCAGCTGAGCTAGGAGGGGTATTAGCTAAGTATTTCTGAAGAAGTTCTTATCAGTTCAGGCTTACAGCACAGGACGGGATGTTGTCTAGCTGAGCGGTGGCAACGGAGGCCAGAGCAATGGCAACGGCAGCGAATGAGGCCTTCATCTTGATACCTTTGTAGTGTATTTGGGGTTAAATTGATGTCCTTGAAGGAAACGATTGACGATGTGCAGCGGGCGATGTGCGGTGCTTGGTGATGAAACGACTGTCGGTTGAATGTGAGAGTGCTGTGCTCGTGAAAGAAAGCTGGAGAAGACCTTATATGCTGCTCACCTGAGCTAACTAGCACTCTGGGGAAGAATCAGCGGAGACATGCTCCGATGTCAGAGCTTCGGTGTCACATGCAGAGCTTTTGAGGCCCAACCATTGACTTGATCGAATTGGAAGCTCTAGTCTCGGACGGCCAGCCGCGGCACACATCAGATGCATTGGCACCACGGCGCTTCCTGGACAGAGTAGACCAATTCCCCGCAGGAAGAGTACGACCTGGGGACCTGGGGCGTAGATCGGGGTGGATGCATGCCGCAGAGCAGTCCTCGTGGCGGGATGCTAATTGACTGAGGGGGCGCCAGGAGCCGGAGGCGGACGGAGTAGGCGTTATTGGTTAGCTGCGAGAGGTTACATTGAGAAAACCGGCAGAAGAGGCACGGGGAGTATGAGGGCAGGGATGAGAACGAGTGTTGGAAGCGGAGGAAGTCGAGTGGCGATTGACTGCGAAGCGGCGAAGAGGCTGAAAATGGATCGAGCTTCCTTTCTCCGCAACGCCACTGCAATATGTACCTCGTATGTATTGGCTGGGGGACAGGATACGATGCTCGATCAGGCGGACGCTAGTGGTGCCGTTGGTTGACGTGCCGCACGCTTAGATCTTCCGGGGTCGTCTGGGGTAAGACCCACACATGCCCGCTGGGACACTCTCACCAGACAGCCAGGCCCGCCCTGCCCGTATGACACACCGCCGACGTTGGGTTTCACACCACCATTTCGATTCGAGATTGTCGTAGGGAGATTGGCAGAAACGCATTCTGGGTGAGATTAGCTGTCCAGAGCTGCTGATAAGAGTGAAGAAAGAGGGCTCCAATGGTCCCCAACGCACGACAACGTTAATATGAGGTTGTGGGACACCGCCGTCTCGCCTTGCCGTTGGCTTTTGCGAGCTGCTCTTCCCGGTCGGCAGCGCCGGTGACTTGGAATCGAGCTATACTGCATGCAGGGTGCCGAGCGAATCATGAGGCTCGGTCCGCGTTTCTGGCCAATGCTCCGACTACTTTGACTACGTAACAACGGGCGGCACGGCTTTCCAGTCTTGCTGCATGTTTTGCCAGGCCGTTGAGCGAGGGTGTCCCGATAATTCCAACTGGCGATCAGTAGCGACGTACCTGCGTCAGACCAGAGCATCACCTAGAGGTAAAGGATAACGCGTGCCCTAGAAATGATGGTGCGTCGTGTATATGGCTCGTGTAAAGCATGTGCCGCCCTGGCCTGCGTAGATCTTCTGTTCTGGCAATAGCCTTGCATCCCGCGAGTGTTCGATGGCGTTGAGGCTTACGCTTTCCTCGGCGGCATGTGAAAGCTCGGCAAAGAAAGACCCGGGATTATAGAAGGTGGAGAAGTCCTGCGCAAGAGGCGCCGAATATCCTAGACTAGGACCATGCATAGTAGAGGAACCCCACTGGCGATTTTGCCAGGCTTGTGACAGCGATGACTGGTGGAAGAGACTCCCGGGATACGGGCTTCATGGAAGAATGCCATTTGACACTAACGGCGCAGCGATGCAACCAGAAAATCAAGGCGCGTGTTGTAGATGGAAGAGTCGAGGGATGACCCTAGATCTCCGAAGGAACTCTGCGACGATGAGCGCTGTTTCTCAGAGCTGTAATCTGGAGTATCCACATGCCTGACCGATAGCAATTTCAAGCTCTGGATGTGGTTGAAAATAATCGCCGATTTCAACGCTGACATGTGGATGATATAGGTGGCCGAAAGACTTCAAGGGGCCATGAGATCCAAACAAGAAACAGACCACAAAGCGTGCAAAGTACTGTACGTATTCCAACGAAAGAATGAAATGAGAAGTAACTAGAGTGCTGGTACACCGCTGTCTAGGTTGGCCCAACACGTTTACAGGTTACAAATGAAGAACTAATGTTTGGCCCGGAGGCTCGTGAAAGGGTTGGAGCATGTATGACAGCGGTAAGGAAACGCAGACAGAGCTTTATCATAGCGCTGTAGTTGTAGCAAAAGATTGTTGGAATGAGACTGCCGTAGGCTTTGACGACTTGACTAGCGCTAGGTAACGTTATATGGACTTGGCCTTAGTCCCCACCTCATATATAGCGGAACATATTGTCTCGTACGCTTCGCTTCATTGAAACAGGTTGGCCGTCCTCAAGCTCTATCCCTGCTTCTCCCCCATCGCCTGCTATGCCTTGCATCTTTAAGCGGAGCTCTTCATCTAGCTCTGCTTGCGTCTTTTTAGCTTTCTTTGATGCGTTTGATGCAGCCTCGGATGCCTGTTCAGATATTTTAGCCATGGTTACTATTTCACAAGTTATGATTATAGATGAGTCTGGATTGGGTACGATTTTTGGTTTGGTCTCCAACAACGCGTTACTGGCTCTACATGTACATACCACAGCGAAGGCTGATGCTGTGTTATGACGAGGAACTCTCCCGGGGATGAAGCAAGTGCGTCGCTCCTTCTTATGAAATCGGATATGAGTCGAAAAAAACTAATCGTGGAGAGCTATCCCAACATTCGATGCGTGAAGAGAAGGGGTCTGATGGATGTGGGTATGTTTGAGAGCCGTCATTGTCAAAGAAAGCACATTATATTCGAACTCGTGAGGCACCCACCTTTACATTGGCTTTCGTATCGTCTTGAGTTGCCTTGGATTCAGAACATTGACACTTTCCTGATGTAAAGCTCCTATAACCAATCGTTGTGGTTGGCTTCTGAACGAGCCTAGGAAGATTCATGCGATGAATGTGAAGCGAACGCGATAAAAGAGCAGCGCTGGAAGCCATTGAGATTTTAGATGCTAGATGAGTGTAAAGGGAAGAAATAAATCCATGATGGATCCCCAGAGTTGTGGTGGTGGGTGGTGAATTCTACGACAGTTTTACGTCACGCTGCTGAGGCCACTAGCGCGAAAACGCGCCAAGACCGCCGGGCTAAGGTTTTCTGATCCGCAACTCACTGTCATCAACGTTCATCACTGTCCTTCCACCATCACCACCTCGTCGAACAACCTCTATCGGTATCCGATCACTCCCCTCTACCGGACCTTTTCCTACTTGCACGAACGAACGCCTCGTCCCGACAGCACCCAGGCCACTATGCCGGTCAAGGGCGGCGTATGGACGAACGTCGAGGACGAGGTCCTCAAGGCAGCCGTATCCAAGTACGGCCTCCAACAATGGTCTCGATGCGCTTCGCTTCTTGCGCGTAAGAGCGCGAAACAATGCAAGGCGCGATGGAACGAGTGGCTGGACCCTAGCGTGCGCAAGGTGGAATGGTCCAGGGAGGAGGACGAGAAACTCCTGACCGCGAGTCGCCTGCTTCCCGGACAATGGCGATCCATCGCTAGCATTATCTCGAACAGGACGGCGACCCAATGTCTGGAGAGATACCAAAAGTTGCTGGATGAGGCCGAGGCGAAAGAGAGCGGCGAGCTGGGACTCGCAGGTCCCGAGGGAGGAGAATCAGCGCCAACTGCCGACGATGTACGGAAACTGAGGCCCGGGGAAGTCGACCCGGAGCCGGAGTCTCGGCCAGCCAGACCTGATGCGCAGGACATGGAGGAGGATGAGTTGTCCATGTTGTCAGAGGCGAGAGCTAGGTTGGCTAACGTCAACGGCAAGAAGGCTAAGAGGAAGGCCAGGGAGAGGGAGCTGGCGACATCACATCGGCTGTCAGTATTGCAGAAGCGCCGGGAACTAAAGGCCGCTGGGATAAATATCAAGATTGTGACCAAGAAACCTGGTCAGATGGACTACTCGGCCGATATTCCACTCGAGAAGCAAGTACCAGCTGGTTTCTACGATACCACCGAGGAACAGCAACGGAACGAACGACAGCGAGAGGCTTTCGACCCTAGGAAACAACAACTCGCGAACAAGCGGAAAGCTGATCAAGACGAGCCAGACGACCGCAAGCGCAAGAAGAATGACAATGGACATGCGTCGGTGGCAGCGGCTGCAGCGAAGGCAGCCCAGGCACAGAAGATACGAGAGGCAGAGCGTAGCAGCAAGCGACGAGGACTTGTTCTACCGGCGCCTCAAGTGTCGGAAGGCGAATTGGAAGACATTGTAAAAATGGGAATGGCTGGCGAGCGGGCGAGTCAGTATGCAGGCAGTAGTGAGAACGATGCCACTAGAGGGTTGATTGGCAACTACTCCCACATTGTCGGCGGCACACCCATTCGGACACCACGAGCGGCGCCTGAGGAGGACCATATTGCGAAGGAGATACAAAACGCTCGCGCAAGGACAGACACCCAGTCAGCTTTGCTTGGTGGAGAGAACCCAGACTACGAAGAGGGTGCTGGCACGGCAGGTTTGGCTGGCACAGGACCCAGGTCACAAATGTTCACACCGAACCCTATGGCAACACCTTTCCGACAAGGCGGCGCTGTAGGAGCCACACCAATGCGAGCGGGGCCTGGTGCCACTCCCATGCTTACACCTAGGGACAACTTCCGTCTTAACGAAGCTGGCGGATTGCAACTAATCGGACAGACCCCTAAGGACATCAAACGCCACGAGATTGCTTTGCGCCAGAGCTTGAAGAGCAAGTTTGCCGCGTTACCGAAGCCAAAAGAGACGGAATGGGAATTCGAGCTCCCGGAGGAGCAACAGGGGGGCAGTATGGACGTGGATATGACGGAAGAAGACGCCGCAGAGCGAGATCGAAAGAACAAGCTCCTCCGCGATGCAGCAGAACGTGCAGAGTTTAAACGCCAAACTCAGGTCATCCAGAAATCCCTACCTAGGCCGTCCACGATTGAGGCTGATATCGTGCTCAAACAAGCGCGCGCAAATCCCGACCCTGTCCTGAGCGCCATTCAAACGGAGATGGCTCTGCTCATGGCGAATGACGCGATGAAATTTGGCGGAGGAAGGGTGAAGGGGACTTCGAGGCCTTTGGACACCTTCGATGATGAGGAACTCAACAATGCCAGGGCGGAATTAGCACTGGAGATGTCTGCGAGCGATGATTTGGAACTGCCCGAACCCCAACTTCCAGGCCGCCTGGAATTTGACAATGTGCAGAACAAGCTCATGGAGACTGCGGAGAAGGCCAACAAGATCGAGACGAAATTAGGCGTGACGCTGGGCGGATACCAGAAACGTGCCAAGCTGCTTCGGAAGAAGATCGAGGATGCTGCGGAGGCACTGGAAGACTCTCAGATCGCATTGGAAACAGCTAGGACGCAAGTAGGGTCAGAGGATTTAGCGATTGCCCGAAGGCTTGAGCAGCTAAGAGCTGAGGTTGCCCTTGTGAGCCGGAAGGAGAGAGAGTCCCAGGAGGTGTATCGGGCACGAAAGGAGGAGCTCGACTCCCTCGAGGTTCCCGTCAATGGTGTTCATTGAGCGGTTCATTTCTACATCTTCTGGATGTAAGCATTAGCATTTGAAGTATTAGGCATTGCAACTGTAATTTTAGGTGTTCCATAATTGATCGAGGGTCCCCTGACTCATTGCCGCCTGTATTCCACTGGTCACTCAACATGCTTTTGTCTGGTGATGGTGTCTCTGTTTCTATCCATGGTTGACACCCTAGGTATACAGCCAATCGCGCAAGTCGAGTGCGCGGTTTCTGTTTCCAAGGCCTCGGCATGCCCACTCGAATGGAACAAAAGGACCGAGCCGGCCAGTGGTGAGCGCTCCCGTCCTGCTGTATCTTGGGGAACCTGGAAGTGGGGTCGCAGGGCGTGTGTTTCTAGAAGGCGTGCAGAAGCCGTGAAGAAGAGCTTCCTGCAGCACCCCAAGCTGGCCGCCGACGCTGCACCGCCTGCCATCCGGAGCCGACTCCAGGGCTCCGCCACGCGGGCTGGGTGAACTAGGTGAATGCAAGCCCCCAGATGGGCGTATTGCGCCGGGCAATGTCACGATTTTAGCGAAAGCCGCGAAGAGTGGGCTGCTCCATCCTCCCTCGACGTCGCCGACACCTACGCCGCATGCTGGGTCTCGAGACGACCGCTGAGCTCTCGCAACAACGCACCTCACTGCTGCTGACAGCGCGCCCTCTTCGACCGCATTCCTGCCCCTCCGCATGTAACAAGGCTGCTCATTGAGGCGGCATGGGGCGCAATGCTCGGAAGCGTATCTCCTACGGTAAGCTCCCAACACCCTTGCATTGCGGCTGTCGCCCACAACTACATGCTGACCGATGCCTTGCATTGATGTGTAGTCCTCCCGCTTGCAAACTCTGCGGGAGGCCATCGACTGGGCGTAAACGGGTTGGCCGTCGACCCCGTAAACTCCATCCTGTGCGTTCCCGCGCCGACCTTCGCTAGCCTGGCTTCCACTGACGCTATACAGCTACTCTGGCGGCCGAGACGGCGTGATATGCGCCTGGGACCTCCACCTTGACCTCGACAAGCAGAGCCGCGAAGCAGACCCCTTCGCCGACTCCAATGCCCCGAATTATAAGCCCCCTCTCACCCAGTTCCGCCAACAGGTCCAGGCGCATACTCACTGGGTCAACGACATCGCGCTTGCGCAGAACAATGAAGCGCTCGTCTCTGCGTCGTCAGACATCACGGTGAAAGTCTGGCGGCCAGCGGCCGAGGACGTGCTTCCCCCGCAGACGCTCGGCTTACACTCCGACTACGTCAAGCGGGTCGCCTCGCCGGGTCCGCATGCGAATTGGGTCGCGTCGGGTGGACTGGATCATAAAATAAGCTTGTGGGACCTAAATGGCGCTGGGCAGAAGCTGCAGATTGCCGTTGGTGAAGATGAGAATACCGCCAAGGGCTCTGTATACGCATTGGCGGCTACAAGCTCCATCCTCGCCAGCGGGGGCCCTGAGAGCATCGTCCGAGTATGGGATCCGAGGACCGGGAAACGGATAACCAAGTTCGTGGGCCATACGGACAACGTCAGGGATGTTCTCATCTCTCAGGACGGAGACACCCTCATGACTGCGTCCTCCGACCAGACGGTGAAGGTGTGGTCAATGACTGCGGGACGCTGCATGTACACCCTGACCATGCATAACGACAGCGTCTGGTCACTTTACTCGGATCACCCGGAGCTAAGAGTCTTCTATTCTAGTGACCGCTCAGGCCTGGTCGCAAAGAGCGATGTTCCCAACGACGTGGAAATGGACCAGGGCGTGTCTGTTGCAGTATGCCAGGAACACGACGGCGTGCAGAAAGTCATTAGCGCCGGGGACTGGCTTTGGACAGCAACTTCCAGCTCCAGCATAAACCGATGGACCGACGTGGAGGCCCAGGCGGAGGTTGCCTTGCCTGAATCTTACAAGTGGCACCGATCAAGCGTCTCCACGGCCCGATCGAGATATCCCTCGCCTCCTAATATTCACACCCCTACTACAAATGGTGCCCCCAAAATCCCCCTGAAGTCTCTTCTCAGAATGTCGAATACCGCTCCTTTCCCGATTTCTACCGCCAGAGACGCGGACATGTACTCAGTGACAAGCGCAAGGAAACCATCCGATGCCTTGCTGGATGCGGACCCTGGGGCGACCGTACCCGTACGAAACTTGCCCGATTTCTCGATCGAAGGGCAGAACGGTCTAATCAAGCACGTTTTGCTCAATGATCGAAGGAGGGTTCTCACTCTTGATACAGCAGGCGAGGTTATGCTGTGGGATCTGTTAAAGGTTCGTTACACTAACCAAACTGCTTTTTACCTCTCTAACGTGCTTGAAGTGTGTCCCTATCAGGTCGTTTGGCAAACGCCATCTCGAAGATGTGGCACCTGAGATCAATACCACGGAGACGGTCGCGCATTGGTGCGCTGTCGATACGAGGACTGGAAGCTTGACCTGCGTTTTAGAAGAGAATTATTGCTTCGACGCCGAAATGTATGCAGATGGGCTCGAATTGGAGGAGAACATCGATTTCCGGGAAGATCAACGAAGTAAGTCCTTATTGAAAGATAACTATTTTCATTCTCTGATCCTCTCATTAGTAAATCTGGGTAAATGGGTACTGCGTTATCTATTCTCTAATCTCATCGACGAAGAGATCAAAAGAGATGAAGTATTCAGGCAATCACTAATACAAAGCAATTCCCTCCAACGGAACAATGCGCCGACGAACATCCAGATTCCGGACGCAACTCTTGAAGGATGGACGAATCCCGAGACCGGCCCTACATCAGCGTCTACGCTACGGGCAACTAATGGACTGCATCTCCCACTACTAACGCCAGGCCTATCGATTGGCCTAGCGACTCCGGCAGTGCCACCACCCGTCATAGGGACTCAACAAGTACACACTCTGCCAACTACACATGAGGAAGGCTCACAGTTGGAGAAAACTCATACGCAACAGAGTCACGGGCGAGACTCATCAGATTACTTTTCAAGAACACCGGTGCCTGGAGCTGCAATTACACCGGCGGCTAATGGGAATGCTAAACCTGAGGCATCAACAGAGGAGAACCTGCCTCAGTCTCCCGCAGAACCTGAGAGCGCTGACAAGACAAAGAAGGGCAACGCCTTGTTTTCAAAGAAGTTCAACATGAGCTTCAAAATGAAGAAGTTTGGCGGCACCTCGGCCCCAGAAGTCTCAAAACCTGCGGCCGTGGACGAGAAGTCAGAGGATTCAGACTCGAGGTCATCAAAAACAGACGAAAAAGTCATTGAAGACAATTTCTTTGGAGCAATACAGCGGTTTAGACATGTTTACGAGGAACAAGTCCAGGATGGTGCTCAGGTCCTTACATCTGCAATAACGCCTAGCTTGCCCAACGATACACCAGTGCTGAAGCCACCACTCAATACCACCATTCTTATTCAGGAAGATCGACCAGATTCGGGCGGTGTGGCAGATCTGTTTGAGGGGAATGTGGGATCGCTGGGTCAGCAGGCGGACACAATCGAGAAAATGGCGCCCGTATGGCTTGCTGATGTGCTTCTGCGAGTAAGTGTTCTTTCCAGATCATCTTTGTATGCTCTTTTTCTGATACTGACTTCGATTAAGAACCTGACTCCCCCTAAAGAGATTGTCAAAGTCTCTTTTATCCTCGAACCTTTTCAGAACCTCTTGCCTAGCATTGCTTCCGACGGGTATGTCCCTCTTCTACCGCCTCCTGAAAAGATTGTCGGTACTAATGGCGACAAAAGCAACAATCGCCTCAATGCCAATCGCATGCTTAGAGCTAGGAAGATATTAGCGTACGTTGCCGAGAGAATCGAGCCGCCCTCGAAGGAGGAGGACGAACTCAAACCGGAGGAATATCTGGAGCTCTTCTGCCAGGGTCAGGTATGCAAAACTCCGCACTTTGTCTCAAGTACTGGAAATGCTAACCGTATTCAGCTAATATCTCCCACGATGACTCTTGCTAGTATTCGTGCTCATGTATGGCGCGGCGGTGGTGATGTCCTTCTCTTCTACAAGGCCAATGGGCGCAAAGAAATCAAACATGCGCCCATCTCGCTAACGCCGCCTCAAGCTGGCAGTACGGCCGGCTCAGAGGGCAAAGCATCGTCAGAGGGAGCGCGGTCGACGCGATAGAGTCTCCATCTAGGCGCGGTATATAATGTCTTTTGGTTAAGAGAGATGCAGAAAGGTTACAGCGGATGCAAATATTCTATTCTATATCTACCCAGACCCAATAACGCCGATTTCGATGCGGTTATGGCTGTACATTGTATTTTACACATCCCCTGGAAGCTCAGGCGTCGGGGGGCTTGGTTGGATATTGGACCGAAGCACCGGTGCTTAGTTGTGCATGGCGGTAACTCAGCACGTTCGTTTTCTGCATGAGCTCCTTGCTCTAATTCCGCCTCTTGCTCTCATGTTGAATCCCATCCACCTCTTGCGCCCATCTCTTGGTCCCCTGTTGAAATGTGTCCGCCTCTTGATCTCATGCGAGCTCCGTACCAACTATAGCACTTCACTCATGCTTCATAGCTGGTCTCCCCCTCCCCCAAGCACATTACTCGCCCACTGATAACTCCCCAAGAATATAGCTCCACCAGCACTAATCCAAAACACCCTGGGCCCAATCCCCGCAAAGAATGCTCGCGGCCCACTCTCCCTCACAATCTGCCTCAGCATCTCCCCCATCGGCCTCTTCTCACTCGCCAGCATCATGCGCGTCTTGAGCACATCCAACGGCGTCGTGACGCCCGCCGCCACCGCGCCCGCCAGGCTCCCAAACACGGCGCCCTCGGCCCCGCTGACGCCCGGCTTCCCCGCCTGCGCGCTGCGCCAGCTCTTCAGCGCCTCCCACAAAGGGAACTGGATCATAGTGAACGGCACCTCGCGCATCACCGTGATGCTCCACCCGCGGTACAGCTCGCGCCACACGTGCGCATAGCCCCGCGCGTGCCGCTGCGCCAGGATGTGCGTCAGCGCCGCCATGCTGCTTGGGTGCTGCAGCGCCTGCGCGCGCTGCTTGACCACCTCGGTCGGCACGCGCACGGCGCACGCCGCGACTTCGCCCAGCGAGGCGGCGGCCATGTGTGCAAGGGCGTCGTTGCCGCCGCTGGGGGAGGTCCGCCGCGCGAGCAGGAAGCGCTTGGTGGAGTCGTATGTGGTGAAGAAGAGGGCGGCGCCGGGCGCGGAGCCCACCAGGGCGGAGCCGACGCCGCGGTAGATGCCGCGCAGGCCGCCGGAGCGCGAGAAGCCGGCGGAGGATTGGAGGCGCGTTTTGAGGGTGTCGAGGGGGAAGAGGGTGAGGTCGACGGTGGTGCCTGCGAGGCCGCCGGCCTGGGGGGTGTGGGGTTAGTGGGGGAAATTGAGGAGGGGGAGTTGGGAGGGGAGAGGAGGTACCAGGAGGGACCGCAGGAAGGGGGACTCGACCCAGGCGGGGGGTCGGTGGGGTTCGAGCATTGCGGAAGAGGCAATTGGGAGAGGTGAGTCGGACTCGTGGTGGTGACGGCTTGGTGTTGAGGAATTGGGGTGGTCTGTGCACGGCGTGCGGTCTGTGTGTAGGGCTAGTGCGGCTTAAAATGTTGTGGACGCGACTTTCTGAGCTTCTTCCTTCGTCCGTCACAGCGCCAGTCGTCACGTCGTCACGCCTGTCGCCTTCAAGCCGCATAGTCGCGTTTGATACATCGAGAACACAAGGCTAACATCTGTACTAAAGAATGGAGAGCGAACAGCAGCAGCAGAACGACCAGCCCGCCTCGCCGACCGGCTTGGCCTTGAACGATGCGCCATTGACGGAGGCAGAAGAGAAAGATATCGACGAACTGGTGAATGAACCGGAAGAGCAAGAGATCGACGACATGATGATTGATGCAGAAGAGAAGGAGAAGGACGAGATGGCGACTGAAGCGGATGAGCATGAGCACGAGACAGATGAAGCCATCATGGAGAAAAGCTTGGATGACTTCCTGAAGAGCTTCGAAGACGACGAGAAGAACTCTGAAGACGACGAGAAGAGCTTAGAAGACCTTCTGCAGAGCTTGTCCGAGGAAGAAGAACAGACTCCTACACCAATTTGGCTTCCGAGATGCGTCGCGTCGACGAATGTCCCGGACCAAGCTGCCCAATGGAAGCGGAAGGACGGAACGTACTACATCACGGAACCACGCTTGGAATACTACAACTTCAAAGAAGCTCAGTGGTATGTTGAATTTCCTCGCTTGCATTGTTGTTCACACTACTGACCTCCCAACCAGGGCCCCAGATGGCTGTGCGGTTATCGCAAGCGACACGACCAACAACTTGCGCACTTATATACCGTAAGTTTAATATCCATGAAGTAACTCTATCGATCTCTACTTACAAGATATCAGGCCCCCGGGTATCCTAGCGGAGACAGACGTTCACAACATGTCACCATTTGCATCATTCCGGGCGCCAGAGTCTATCTACGCGTTTGCACTATGGCCTGGCTTTGACTTTTACGACAGGACCACGGCCAAAGTGCTGTGCAGCATGCGCGACCAGCCTCTCCGCCTGATCAACGCTTGGGGTGGTCCTTCAGCTGTTAGCAACGGCTCGTACCGCCTAGTTACCCCAAACACCGAAAAATGGATGACCCCACACAGTCTCGCCTGGACGCAATCGTGGACCCACTTCGTCGCCGGGTCGGACAGCACGATCGCTATCTTTGACGTACAGCGTTACGGTGAGCCCGTAAAGCGTCACAAGACCAAGAACATGACCGCGAAGGGCGTCGGTACCAAGGGCCTCGTGTCTTCTTTGAGCATTAGCACCAACAGAGTCCTCGCTTTCGGTACTTGCAACACTCGCCAAGTAGGCCTGTACAGCAACGAAGGGAACGGTCACGCCATCACCTTCTTCCCAGTTTCTGGCAATCATGTCAACAAGACTGATGGAGGAGGTGTCACTAATGTCGAATGGTCTCCTTGTTCTACCTACCTCTACGTGGCCGAGCGGCAGAGCGACGTCGTACACGTATACGACATGAGGATCACAGCGCGCTCACTTGGGTACATGGAGGGCCGTAACGCCCACACCAACCAGCGTCTTGGCATAAGTGTTGCATCTTGCGCAAACGGCCACCGAGTGTGGGGCGGAGGGGTAGACGGTGTGGTGAGATCTTGGGATAATCCTCACTGGAGCGAGGGGGTGGTGCAGCCTTCGTGTGAAATGAAGGCACACAACGGTACGTCTTCCAGCATTAGTTCTCTGAAGAAGCGTAGTTGAAACTAACGGTTTTGGTACTTGTAGGGCCCGTTACGTCGGCGCTGGAGGACCCTTCGGGGCAGCTTCTCGTCACTTGTTCGGCCGAGAGCTACCGCGACTCGTCGGACGATGAGGAGGGCGATGAGGATGATCTGCCGCAGGTGGAGGCTGGCATGAAGTTGTGGGTTTTGTAGCGAGAGCGTGGCCAGAAATTGTAGATTAGCGTGTAGTTTTATACCCCATGGCCCCCTAAGTGGCCCATTCTGAATGTTAATAATCATGATTATGCCCCCCTCTTTCGGTGCTTGTAACAGTATAAAAGGGCTCTAAATGTATAAAATTTTCACAGAATACTATCCCCTAAGCGTTGCCCTAATAGTCCCCTAAAGGGCCCTAAACGGTCCCTTAGCGTGCTCTAAGTGTGCACTAGAAGGCCCCTAAGTGTGCTTACTTCTACTATAACTACTAATATTTACGTCCCTTCTCTAAAGGTAAACTTTTACTCTTTCTAGCAGAAGCGTCCCCTCTTCCGGTTCTTAAAGTCACGGAAACGGCCCCTAAACGCGCAAATGTTCTCTCTTTACTCTCCACCCTTAGGCTCCTAAGTCGCCTACACTACGTCCCCATTTTCGTCCCCCTCTATATATCCACTACTTACCCTTCTATATATCCTCTTACCCCTCTATGTACCCCTCTGCGTACCTCTGCGTACCCTCTGTGCCGCCCCTCTGCGTACCCTCTGTGCCGCCCCTCTGCGTCCCCCTCTGCGTCCCCCTCTGCGTCCCCCTCTGC